ATAATTACCTATATGAATAGATAAAAGTATGTAAAAGTAGGTTAATTGTGTAATATCTTCTAGAGAAGCTTCTTAGAAGCTTCATAGACGCTGCTTTGACTTTATAGGAGTCTATAGTTGACTTTTAGGTTAAAAACTTGGTCAACAAGTTAGCCATGTGCCACGCATGTTGGAAGCTTAAAGAGCAAGCTAACTACGTGGTCTATCCATAAAAAACTTGCCTTGCAAGCAAAGGCATGTGGCCTAGAAAGTCAACATATATTGGAGGTCTTATAGAACATCGCCACGTGGCTTCTAGTTAGATAGTATATATAGAGGCAAGAGTGAAGCCCTCTTCACTCTTGTCAACTCCTTTCTTGCTTCTAGTCTAGTTTCAAGGGTCTCTAGTTTTCTTGTATTTTGGCAATAGCCATTCCAGTTTCTTTCTTAATATACATATTTCTATTTTGTCCTATTTCTTTTTGAGAAAAGTCTCACTTACTCTTTAGCTTTCATCGAGTTCTTGTCCCTGACAGATATCATCAAGAAAGTAGATAACAAACTTGTCTAAAAATTCTTCAAAAATGTCATTCATCAAATATTGGAATATAACTAGAGCATTTTTTAATCCAAAAGGCATGGCATTATATTCAAAATGTTTATATCTTGTCCAAAATATTGTCTTCTATTTATTTATTTTTTTAATCTATACCAAATTATACATTCTATAGAAATCTATTTTAATCTAGATCTTAGCTTAACAAACTTGCTTCAAAAGCCTTGTTATCAATAATAATGGATAATAATTCTCTATTGTTATTTTTTTGAGGCCACAATAAATATTACACATTTACAAAGATCCATATTTTTTCTTTAAAAAAATATTGGTATACTTGCTAGAAATTTGAAATGCCAAATAAAATTCTTTACAAGATTTTTATTGATATAATCCTTCAATGCAAAAAGATTATTTTGAAATAGGTTGTAGATTGGACCAAATGGTGGTTGAGTCTCTTCTTAAAAATTGATGGCACAAGCATACTGTTGATGCTTGGATAATATGTCACCATTATTTTTTTTTCAAAGACATCTTAAAAATTCTTATATTTCTCTAGAATAGCTACTAGCAATCTAGCTTCTTCTTGAGTTGAAATGACATTTCTTTCTTAGCTATCTTTGTAAAAGTCTTTGCTTTAAAAAATATGGCCTATGTTGTTAATGATTTTTAAAAATATTTTATCCAAAAGGATTCTATAAGAAATTTAATCTTATAAAATCTCTAATTTATGGATAGATTATATCTTTTCAACCATGAAAGTCTTAAAATGATAGGATTGAATGGAATTCTAATAACATTGAATGTTATTTTGCTACTATGGCCCTCAAATGATGTTTCTAGTAGTATGGTCTCTTGAGTAATATTGCTTGAAGTTAAATATTGACCTCTATTATTTCTACATGTATAAATTTTGACTTCTATATTAAAAGAATTTTATAAATTAAAAAAAAAAATATCTAAAAAGTAGCAGATGCTCTTAAATCTATTAAATCATTTATTTAAAGTTTTTGTGGGCCAATAAATAAAGGTAGAATAAAACAACAAGTAGATTGGGTAGAGAGAGAAGAGCCTTCATGAATTTGAGGTGTTGGAATGTTAAGTCGCATGATCATTATTGTGGTTGGGCTTCTTTATTTTTTTAAAGAATCACACTTTTAGTCCTGGTTGTATGTTGTTTGTTTGCACAGTTTCCAACTTTGTAGCCTTCTTCACTACAATTAAAGCATAGGCCTTATTCAAATTAATGCTTCTTTTTTTTTTCTTTTGCTATAAGAGGTTTAAATTATACTATATCAATTTGCATATCTTTAATTCTAGTATTGTGATGTAATACAACTAATAGATGAAAGAGAGAAAAAAATATTATATTATAGAAGATCTTATTGTAAAATATTATAGAAAATCATCTTAAAAATATAAATAATAATAAAAAAGATAGTGCAATTAAAAAGTCTTAATGCTACTTTTTTGCAAATTGAGCTTCTATTTACTTTGTAGGACCATGAATAAAGTAAAATAAAGTAGATTGAAAAATTAAATTATATAAGCATATGTAGGAGGAATTTAAGAATAGACTTTAGTAAAATTTATCCCAAGAAGCCAAGAATTGATACCCAACGAGGACCAATTGTCAACCTCAGTTGAAATCAAATCCCGAGGCACAAAACCGTACACTTGTAGTGACTTTGGAGTCTTTTTAGAAATCAAAGAGTGGAATTTGAGAGCAAAATTGATGAGATATTTTTAGGCATTAATTTCATATCATTTGAATCAATATTGAAATTTTGAAGGTTTTCAAAATTAATAATGTTCTTGGTAGGATTAAGATTTAAGAAATAAAAATATATTTATAAATTTGAGGATTACTTAAGTTTTGTGGTGTGGATATGGGTGAAATTTGGGCAGTGTATTAGTGTATTAGTTGTAAATGTATATACATTGTCATTAGATTATGATTTGATTAAGATTTATTTAGAATTTGTCTAAGATTTAGGATTTCATTAGGATTTCATTAGGATTTCATTAAGGTTTAATCTAAGCTTTGGTTAAGATTCAATTAGGGTTTTAATTAGATTTGACTTAAGATTTGATTAAAATTTAATTAAGATTTTAATTAGGATTATATTAAAGTTTTTATTTTTAATATTTCTTTAAGTTTATTATTATTTCTTTAAAGTTTTATTTTTAAATTTTCATAAAATTTCTTTTATTTTTCTTTGAAATTAAATCATGACTTCTTTGTGTTTCTTTTGTGAGTTCTTTTAAATGTATTATGATAGGTTAAAGTTTGATTGGATTTATTGAGGAATACTTAAAGTTTATTTATAGCTTTATTAAATTTGGTAGAATTTTTGTTGCATTTTTATTTACCTTTCATAGCTAGGTACTTCGTACATTCTCAAGTAAGAACATATGTAATATGACACTAGAATGTAAAAGTAATGTATTTGTTAAAGTAATATAATACAAATTTTTTATTCATTGTATTGTCAAAGTCTACAAATATTGATCTTGATGACATTAAAATAATTGATTATTACACTTCACAACTTCGCAAATAGCTTCATTAAGTGTTTGAGGATTAGATAATAATAATAATAATAATAGGTCTTTCATATCATTCTTTAGGTCTCGAATATAATTGATTCATAAAAGCTTGTTCATTCTAATTAATATAACAAGCTAATTACCTAAAATCAAATACATAAATTGTTATAGAGCATGACATTTCACATAATGAACAAATCTTTGTTGTCATCTATTAGACCTTGTGATGTTCTATAAATGCCTATGCAAATACTTCTAAAAAAGCTTCAAAGTTGTTCAAGATTAGAGATTTCTTTTCAAAGAAAGGAGCAAATCAAGATAAGGCTTGTTTTATAAGCAAGGCTCTAAATAAATTAACTTTTAATTCATTTGTTGAATATTGATCAAGTTGTAGAAAAATTATTAATAGAATTTGGTTAACTAATCATCAAAACTTGAACCATGTACCATCAAACTTTTCTACAAGTCTAATCCAAGCCTCCTAATATTATTAAATAGGTAAATTTTCTTATTGTGATACATGTGCCACTACCTCTTTGGATGTAGTAGCTTGAGAAAGTCGTTGCATCACAAGCTGAACTGCTCCAAGTCTTGCATCATCATAAAAACTTATAAAAAAATCCTTCAATTTTAGCAATTTTCTAAGATAAAGCATCCAATATATTCATGATAGTATCTAACTTGGACTCAAGACACTCAACCATACTAACATTTTCTCTTTCAGCCATCTTGAAAGATAAAAAGAGAGTTTTTATCTCTTTGTAGAGAGTACTTTGCAATCTCTAAAGCGCTTAGATGCTTTCAAGAAGATGAATAATCCACTTTCTATCAAAAAGGATCAAATTCTAATATTGATAAGAAGGCAATTTTGACAAATTATTACAATTACAATATATATGAGATCAAACAAGAAGTTGAATAGAATAATTTCAACAAGAAAGGTGATAAGAATTTGATTAAATTAAATGAAGATAAGATCAACACAAAGAAAGGTGAAGTAAAACTCCAAGAGATATATTGTCGAGATTGAAGATCTCTTTAGCTTTGACTCTAATATATATTAGATATTAGGAAGCTTCTCGAAAAGTTTTTGTGTTGCTTGAAGACGAAACAACCTTAGAAAACCTCTTTTAATGGTTTAGATATCTTTCAACCTTAAGAAGCATTATTTAGTAGTTTAGATATCTTTCAACCTTAGGAATCTTTTAATAGAATGAAAGATATCTATACTAGGATAAAACACACATTTATTATATGCATATATATATATATATATATATATATATATTTAAAATATTTTATATATATTTTTATACATTCTTTTTTAATATCTCTATGAAATCATAAAATTTTATAAATTTCAAATGAAAAATAAAAAAGTGAAAAAAATAATAAGATTATAAAAATATTTAAATTATTAAAAAATAATATCTTAGTATACATTTTTAGAATATCTTAGTATATATTAATAGAAAATATTTTTTATTTTTGATAAAAAAATATATGTATATTTTTCAAATTTTTTTAGAAGTAGAAAAATCAAATAATATACTTGATTCAAGACTTTCATAATACAATAATAATTATAAGTGTCGTAAATATTAACATAAGGAACTAAGAGATAAAAAATAAAATAAAAGAGGTATAAGATATCTAATTAGAAAGGACACAACAAATGGCATGAAATAGCCACGCGGAATGACGAATACTCATGCAGCCATGCAGCGACCCGCATCCATGGAAGCCGTGCCGTGGATTCCTGCTGTGCGCACTGACCGCCCTACAGCTTCACCGTCTAGAAGGGTCGGCGCCACTTACCGACGGTCGCCCGATCATTCCAGACTCTTCACCCCCCTTCTAGTCTGTTCTAGAGCGTCAGAGTCTAGAACGTTCAGCCTCATAAGTAGTGTATAGAGGCCTCCGCTGCCTCCACTCTCCTCATACCTCCACTCTCCTCTCCTCATATTTTCTCATCATCGATCTCTCGATTTAAGATTTCTGTGATTTCTTCATTGCCGTTTCCTTCATATTTTGCTCTGAATTCCCTAGCCTTGAGCTAGTATCGCTTCTCTAGTAGCAGATCATTTGTTGCCGGTAGCCCCTCTGCTCGCAAATCGTGGAGTGATTAGTCACCTTTCGGTGGATTCTTTGCGCATAACAATGGCACTCTCATCATTCTTCAACCGCCGGAATGACTTGTGGAGCATGCCCGACCCAATGGATATCATTGTGACTATCTTCGACGATTCTCCCGCCAGGTCGATTGCAAGGGATGCCCATGCCATGGCGAGAACCAATGTGGATTGGAAGGAGACCCCGACGGAGCACGTGTTCAAGGCTGATTTGCCTGGGTTGAAGAAGGAGGAGGTCGTGGTGCAGGTCGAGGACCATAGAACCTTGAGCATTAGCGGGCAGCGCAAGAAGGAGGAAGTTCACAAGACAGATACTTGGCATCGCGTGGAGCGTAGCAGCGGGAACTTCATGAGGAAGTTCCGGTTGCCTGAGAATACAAATTTGGATCACATCACGGCTGAAGTGGAGAATGGAGTGCTGACGATTGTTGTTCCCAAAGTGGAGAAGAAGAAACCTCAAACGCGCAGCATTGAGATTGGTGGTCACGATGAGCAATCGGAGCAACAGGCAGTAACTCATCATGATGAAAAGGCCCCCTCTGGAGTTGCTGTACCGATGGAGACCACCGATGCTACCCCAGATTCTAAAAGCACCTCATCAACTGAAGAGAAATGAAGTCGTTTAAAGGGGATTGTGAGAAATCCAGCGTTTAGCAGTGGTTTGAAGCGTGGCATATGTGCATTGAGAATCAATAATTAGCAGCTGTGTACCCTGAGCATAGTGAAGAATCCGCACTATACCCCCAAGAATGCGCACGGTGAAACGAGAAGTCATGAGGTTTTGTTTAGTGATAAGCGCAGTAGTCATTAGTTTGTGTGCATGTGAATGTGAATAAATGCTCGAGCATGTAAATATAATGAGCTCATAGCGACAGTATTTTTATTTACTAATAGCCTACCAAGATCTTCAAATTTACATGGCTGTGATGTAACTTTGTTCATAATTAAATCCCGTGAACGCAGCGTAAGTATTTCGACTTTGTCATAAGACATATCATGCAAAGAATAAAACAGAAGATAAGACATCTTTCTATTGGTTTAATGAATCCCACTTCCCTTCCACTTCTGAGGCATGCAATCCTTCTCATTTTACTTTAGAAATACACTCAATATTCATTCAATTGATCTACAAAGCTAAGCGCTCAGCAATTATAATACACACATTCAAGCAAATTGATGTGAGCAGTGAAGCGGAAACTAAAAGAAAAAGAAAAAGAAAAAATCGACTAAATGGTTGTAATAAAATCATGGATGGTGCAATTACTAAATCTGTGCCCAAGTATGCCAGAGTCAGCCACGCCCATCCATCCCCCACCCCCCCGTTTTGTTCGAAGGCCCTGACGACGGCGACAGCGACGGTGAACGAGGTGTGGAAGATCGCCGTCTGGCATGGTGTCATCAGCACAGAGGCGGGGATAGGGGCTCCGGTCCAGCATACTAGTCTATGACCGAGCGAGGGGAAAGCACAACGTTGACGAATGTCATCCTCTTCCCCATTGAATTGCTTCTCCATTCATTCTCCCTCTCACTTCTCCCTCTTCTTGTTCTGAAAAAATTAATAATAATGTAGTTTTTTTAAGGTAAAAATTAAATAAAATTTAAAAATATCATTATTAATTTCTAATACTTCAATTTTTTAAATTTCAATGAATTATTAGTAATTTTGGAATGTTTCTTGTTACGTGTGAAGTTATTGTGAATTATAATTTTTAATTTAAAAAATATCACATTGATTATTTTTAATTTAATAAAATTTTAAAATATAAACACAAAATACAATGAAAAAAATTAAAAATTCATAATAAATAATTTGATTCCTTCAATTCTTTCGATATTTTAGATTTGGATATTTAAGCATTTAAATATAAATAAATTGTTGAGCCAACCTTGACAGCTAGCCAATTCACCAAAAATCTTAGCAAACTAACTATTGTTAAAGCCAACTAATTGTCATGGACATATGCATTAACACTAGTATTTACCTAGATAAAAGAAGTTATGTAGAAATTATTAAATTTGAAAATATTTAGTAGAGCAACTTCTCAGAAGCTTCATATACACAAATTTGACTTTCTGAGTGTTTGTAGGTGCTTGATAGGTTGAAAAGTTTGCCAACAAGTTTGCCACATGTTGCACATATTGATTACTTGCTTTACAAGTTAGCCATGTAGCACACATGTTGGAAACTTGTCTTGCAAGTTAGACACATGTTCCACATCTTGGGCATGTGTTGAATGACCTATAAGATATTGTGATGTAGTTCTTTAGTTAGATATATATATAGAGGCAAGATTGAGGCTTTCCTCATTGTTTTCAATTTCTTTCTTGCTTCTAGTCTAATTTTAAGAGTTTGTAGTTTTTTTTTCTTTGAATTTCTTATTGAATATATACACTTTCTCATTTTCTTTGTGGAATCTTTATTTTGAGACATATTTTACTTGTTTAATTACATTTTTCAAGTTCTTGTCCTTGACACCTATTTCTTAAGTTTCTATTCGACAATCTTTTAAATTTTTGGCTTGTTGTTGTATGTATTATTTTTATTGTTGTATACATATATTTGATACTCTATGTATTTGTTGTTTTGTGTTAAGACAATATAGATAATTGTAAGACTAGTAAGAGACCATTTGTAAGTAGTTGTGCAGATATTCTAATTGGAATTGACAATGAATTAAGCAATATATATAAAAAAAAAATAGTATACTTATTTTTAATGATAATCTAACCAAATATGTATGTAGTATAATAGTTTTTTGAGCAAAATTCAATATAGAAGTTAAAATCCTTATTGTAGATATGGAACCATTTAGAAGTTATCTATAGTCACTCATATGCATAGAATGTTGATCAAAAAATGCTCAATTTGTTTTAATTATATGCCTAATTGACTTTGTAATTTGTCCATCATTTTAAAGTTATTTATAAGATTGATAAAAAAGGTGTTATTTCTCAAGATCATACATAGAAAAAAGTTATCTAATATTAGAGGTTATAATTAGTATAGTATCATAGATAATGACCAAGATGCCAATTATCAATATTAATGCTTTGAATAAAAAATGACAAATAATTATTTGTTGCTATTGAAAAGTCATCATTTAAGAATCTTGTAAAGACATTCTACCAACCTTAAAAAGTCTATTGTTGTTGCATGCTAAGAAAAGTACTTAAAGATGAATTTACTACTACTATTTTAAAATTTTATTTATTATTAAATAGTATCACTTCTTATTTTGAGTTCATTTTATAGTATTAGACATCAAGAGTATTTTAAGGCTATAGTTCTATCACTACCTAATAATTGAATAAAGACTAAGAGTTGTATTAGGTAGTTGTAGCATTCAAAACTTTCCACTTCTATATAATGCCATAATTATTGGTGATATTATAAATAACTTACTACAAGAATTTGGCATGATGATGTGAATTATAGATACTACCAATAGCGGCATTGAGATGCCAAATGCAATAAATTATTCTAGCAAAATATCTATGATTTTTTTATTTATTTATTCTATGTGTCATATCATCAACTAAAGAATAAGTACAAAATCCTTCTAATAAAAATAATTATTATTTAAAGTAGTTAATTTTTATAATTTTTTATAATTCAAACTAAAAATAATGTGTATAAAATCTTGTCCAATTTTTTCAAAACATAATAGTGATGGTTTAAGGCAAGTTAAAATCATGACAATATTGAGGTACAAAATGATTTTTATAATTTATACTTGCATGTTTAAATAATTCTATTAATAAATTTGATATATTATATTTATAATAAAATAATATATTATATAATATATGTTTATTATTTTAAAAAATCTTCAAATTATTTCTCAGATTTTTAATAATTGATTTAAGAATATTGATATTTTTTAAAGCTCACCCCCCCCCCCAAGCAGGCGGAGAATGCAACACTTGTCATAGTCACCAACGTTGCGTTGCGCTACGCACTGAGCCCACTCTCCTCGAGCTCTGTCTCTCTCTGCCTCGTTCCTTCGATTCCATGCCTCCCGTCAATTCCAGCTTCGATTTCGTTTGTTGCGCGCTTGATTACAGTCCATTTCATCGTCGTTTCTGCTGTACCAATCCTTCTATTGCAGAGTTGTAGCTTTTCCCGTCGTGGAGGAATTTTTCCGGTGGGTTTTGGTCGGTGTTTGGTAACGGTTTTGCCGCCTGAGTCAATTGTGAATTGGTTTTGATGCTGGATGTTGTGGTTGAATTTCGGATAAACCTGGAGGAAGATTGCGTGTCTACTTGTGGCTGGTATTGGCTTTGACGAATTGGCATTCGGTGAGGTTGGAAGTTTCGGTGGAATTCTTCATCAGTGTGTCTTGGTGCTGGAATATCTAGGTACTTGGTTTCTAGGGCTTTCCAGTTTAATTGTGTATGTGGTATACTTGCTATAATTTTAGGAATAGATTTTGGAATTTAACAGCGGCGATCAGTCTGTCCGTTCAATGTATGAGGTTAGAGATTCAGTACTTAAATTTTGTAGCTACGAATGTTTTCAACTGATTCATACCTGGTTTAGTGGTCGAATGAGTGATTTAAATCCTAAGTTCTGCTTGTCTGCATTTTGGCATGGTATATTTGAACCTGAGACTGTCCCTGGCTACCTGATGTGTCTTCCCTGAAAAATATTAGATTTGTCGAATTTGTTCTTCATTTTTTCAGTTTTTCTGGTTTCTCGGTCCTAGATGTAAGACATTTTATCAAAAACTAATCAAAAAAGCACAAATTTATATATATATATATATATATGCATTAATTTTTTATTTCTTATTTTTATTATTACTATTATTATTATTTTGTGACAGAGATTGCAGTATCGCCTTTGAGGTGGTTTCAGTCTTAACGCATTATGGGAAATTCCGAATCCTCCAGTGCAGGTATACTTGGTATCCAGCATGAATCAGAACCTTAGTCTAGATGATGAATTTGCTTTTGCATCCCCGACAGGCTCAGGTCATACTGAGCTGCACGTATGAAGTACTCCAAAGAGTATTTTATGACTTTGCAGATGACATCTTCCGGGAGAAATCTCATACTTCATCATTCATTCTTGTTCCACTTCATAATCTAAAACTCAGTGTGGTTTAAAGCCTGCGCTTACATTGATTTGAGTTTACAACAATAATACGAATAGTCCGCTCATCGTTGTAAATACCACTTCTTGTAAGCTTCCATTCGTATAACTGATTAAAAATGTGTGCAAGAGCAGGGGGTGAAAGCCAAGAATACACTCAACTTGAAAGAAAATTGCAATCTGAGCTGACTTATCTTAAGCGCTCTTTCGCTCATCTGAGTACCTTTAAAGATGGCAATCAACAATCTATTCCCCTTTCGGCACTTGAGGCAAGCCCTAATACTTTGTCTGTTGAGTGCGAATACTGCACACAGATGTTTCAATAATTTTCTCTCTAATCAACTGAGTAACTCACGGCCTTTACATTTTTTTTAACAGTTACTTTGATATCCTCTTAAAATTCTGTAGCAACCAGCTTTAAATAGAACAGATGCATGCGTAGACTGAATTTCATTAGCATGGAAATGGCTGTGCAGGAGGTTTTCAATCTGGCTCCACTAAATGTTGGCAATGTGCCTTCTGCCGATAATTCCTCCCTTCCATTGTTCATTTCGGAGATTGGACCAGCCATTATTCGAACATTTTTCATCAGCAACTCGGGACAAGTAAGAATTTCCGAGTCTTCTTTTTAACCGCTGTAGGCTGCTAGCTTCTTCCTCAATTTAACGATTTTCTCCCATGTGTACTTCATTCCATCTCCTTTACCCACACCTTATTCAATTTCCATTTTTTTGAACTTCATCGATTTTCTTTTCTCTGATGAGCTTAAGAAAATATCATTTTTTGTATAGTCCTGATATGGCATGTCCAACTTCCCATTAATGTCGCTTGCTAATATTATCAAAGTATTTTCCGCTTACTATTTCTCTCCTCATAATTTGAAACTGAGCCTGCAATGAAAAGCTGAAACTGCTGCCCTTCTGTTATGATGATTACGCCGGATTCTTACATGCTAACAGCAGATCACACTGGGAATGCTTATGTTTTGCTGCTCCTAAATTGTATTCATGCTGGCAGGTGGACTGGCCTCATTTTCTCTCAGGCTTTAACATGTGTTGTAAGGAAGGATTGGGTGCAGTCAAGTTGAAAATGCTCTTTGCGGTGTTTGTTAAAGGCAAACATGACCATGATTTACTCCCTAAGCTACAAGTTGATGGAGATCAAGATTTAATTGGGTTCGTCACTATGAGCCAGCTGCGAGATGTTTTCTTGCTTTGTTGGTTACTTATGTGTCATTCAAGACTCGATAACGTGCAAGATAAGGTTTGCGCTCTGATCTCACACGTTTGAGGATTTCATATTGGATTGTGATATTGGGGACTTAGATTTTGTGACCATTCTTGGCGCTTCATAGAGACCTATTTATTACACCTTGTATCTCTTAACCGCTGCTTAATACACCTGCATTGATATCCCTTAAGAAAACTGGTCAGCTATTTAAACATCCGGGTTTGACAGGAGGTGCATGTGACGCTTCCAAATTTGCATCCTCTACTTGCTTCCTGCTACGCTACTGCAAGTGAGGCGCCCGCTGAGACAGATTGGAAAGGCGACGAGGAAATACCAGTGGAAAAACTCATATCTTGGGTTCTAGCAACTATTCCTGGTATTACAGATTGCTTTGCTGAATATGTCAAAGCTCATCTGCAGCGACTCGGTTCAGAACGAAAGGTGTTCTTTACAAGCCAGTTCAATTTTCCTCATGCTGCTGGTTTCTAATTACAGTAATGACAACTGTACCTGTTTTAGTTTTTCTTGATTTCAGTACGTATGAGTAAGTGCATACATTGTATGTATATGTTCTTAGTTCGTATTGCAATTTTGTGAAGCTACTTCTGATAGTATCATTTTTTGAGTTCAGACTATCAAATCGGAAGATAAACCTTCACCACAAGCCACAGGAGTAGTGGACCAAGAGGGAAAAGCGTTGGGGCATTCACGAAATGGAGAAGCTGTGGAACCAGGCCTGCTCACATTGGAGACAGCATGGGCTGTTGGGCTGTCACAAAGGGACTCTAGCGGTTCAGATCTTGTTACTGCTGCCTGTGACCTAAGTGGCTCTTCTAATAGCCATCCAACACTCTTGTATAGGTACTTCTAACCAATGTTCACATCTAGGGTGATTTTGAACCTTGTTTGTTCTAAAATCTGTGAGCTTGCATTGACTTGTGCGGCGAAATACCTGGAGCTAAGTCTTAGGAACACACTTATAGTACGGTACTTGTAAAACTAGAAGAAAATGCCACACGACACCTTCATAAGATGTTTTTTTTAACTTTGTGTTGCAGATCTTCCAGCCATGGAAGAGGACTCAGCCGATTCTGGACACGTGTGGAGGGCTACAAAGCCTCCGTGTTGATGTTGATCTCAGGGACTTCTATAGGCGGTGATAACGATGAACTCACTGGAAAAAAATGGGAAGTAGGAGCTCTGGTTCCAGGAGGATTTGAAAACAAGGAGGTCTTTTATGGAAGTTCTGGCTGCTGCCTATTTGCGATTTCGCCGCTTTTTCTACCCCTGCGGTCAACTGGTATTCTTTTATTCCATTTTGAGGCATAAACATAGAACTCGTAGATCCTTATCTAGATTGACATGTGCAGACTGCTCTCAAAAGTATCACAATTTTTTGTCCAAACTGCGTGCTTTTTCTGAGGCGACATGACCTTTCCTTTGGTAATAGTTTCAGTCACCATCTTTGCACGTTTAATTTTGAACAGCGTAGTCCACGAGGAAAATAACGTATAATTTTACTATCCGGTTGCTGGTAATCAAGAGAACCAAATCTGTAATAAAAACGTTTCTTCTTGCTTCCAACTGGATTATTGGTTACCCGAATCTGCTACAAATTTAAGAGCCCTAACTTCGAATCTCGTGCAGCCCATTCTATTTTTCTAAGTGTTTATGATTCACTTAACCCTTATTTGCTGACTTGTAGGTAGGGAGACCAATTATGTCTACAGTCACAAGCGTACTCCGGGAGTTGCATACGGTTCACATCCAAAACCAGAGGGAGTTGGTTTTGGCGGTTCAGACGGAAAAGAACGTTTGTGGTTAGATGATGAGTTTTTGACTGTCACTGTTCAGCATCATGCGCTGGATAAATCTTATCATTCTGGGGCGCTTATTCCAGGCCAGGTAACTAGGCTCCACTATGATTTTCTCTCATTATCTACTGTATGCTATATTGGAAATACTTTGGAACGATTCATTCTCCCTTAAACGTTCTGAAAGTCGTGCACAGACCAGTGGTCGGCTTAGTAAACCAATTATATATCCATTTAACTGATAGCTCGGTTCCTTTTGGACAGGGTTATTTGGCTGTGAAGGGCAGAGTCAGCAAAGTCGAAGTCTGGGGACTCGGAGGATTTAGTGCTGATGAGCAGCAAGCTGTATATCAACACAGAGAAAATCTGTTCTCTGAGCAAAGACGGAAGGTACATCATTAGTTTTTGAGTTACAAAGCGAATTCGAATATTAAAGAATGATATTTCAATATTCCTTCACAGTTATGAATGAAGATATTATGTTGGTATGATATCCTCTCTCGTAATCGGTTATTTATGATCTGTTCGATGGCAGGTTGACTTGAAGAACTTTGGCAACTGGAAAGATTCACCTGATGCAGCGATGATGGATTTGATGTCCGACCCCAACAAAGCGGCAAGAGAGGAACGTTAACATTGTCTAGCGAATTGTAAATGATATCATATGAGACCAGTTACACCACTTGGATTCCGCTCAAGCTTGCAGATAACCAAATGAAATTGTCTATTGAGCTGGTGTGAGACACGAATATCTACGCCTTATCTGTTGAACCACCGTATGTGGGTCTGAATATCATAGTGCACTCAAGGGCATTATTGTAGACGTGAACTGATTCGAAAAGAAACTATACATTGAATCATGCTCTGAGTACCTTTTGACTTACAACTTTTCAGAAGTTTTGTTTGCACAGCTCTCAGCGTCGCGCGCAGGATTTACAAGACAGCAAAACAAAACATGCTCGGACGCTAGGACTAGATCGTATCAGAATGCCTACAAACCCTGGCCTTCAGAATAAGAACGAGAGATTCATACCTTTAGAATCCGAAAACACTTCTCACATCGAGCATCGACATGCGCACCGAGGAGGATCTAGAATCCCACGGGAATCCCTACACGACCTCGAAGCCACGGTGGAGGGGGCGGCAACGGTCGAAGGCCCTGCGCCATGGCCGTGTCTAGATTCCAGAGCCCGGCGCACACGGCGTGGAATCCACAGCCAGGCAGGAATCGAACCAGCTCGATCGACCCCATTCATTTCCTCCTGGAATCTGGCCTTCGCTGCTTGCTTGCAGATCCACCACTGCAAGCAAGCAGAGGAAGTCACGGCACGAGGAGAGTATCTTTGCAGAAAATCGACGACGACGACCATCACCACGCTGGATGCAGCGCTGTGGGTCCCGAACGCTGTGCATTGTTTGGGTAGGCGGCCATTTGCTTAACTGGGGATCCGTTCGTTCATGGTTGTCGTGAGGCCATTCGTTTCGAATCCACTGTACTGTTGTGTCCTTTCCGGTACGGGAGGACGATTAGCCTAAACACAGCACTTTCGTCGCGGGAGGGAATCACGCGCGATATGCCTTGACTCCTGACGCCGCCCTCAGTTGCAGCCTGCTTGATCTGAGACTTTGTGCACTGCGACGCAAGGAGGCCCTGATCAGATAAGTCTTGCCAGGGACTCCACTGGACCCCGGCATTGTGTAGAGATTTGTTTTGTTTTGCATCCCCGGTTGTAAAGTCCCAAAAATTCTGGAGCTGGATTTACTTTGACCATCGAAGCTTGACATCGAGGGCCGGGCATTCAGGGTTAATAATTAGTCGCGTAGATGAGTATGTCAGGTTGCACGTGCATTGCAGGGTAAGAAGTGGCCAAGTTTCTGACTGGGACTTGTTGACCATGTTGCTGTCTCCGAATGCGCTAGAAGGTGCCAGTTTCAATATCATACATTCGCGGCTGGGATGAAAAACAACCGCAATTCCGCAAGTTCTTCCCAGATACGCGTCTGGATACTATTGGGAGCGACTCCTATGGGTGCACCACTTGCAATACTGACGACTTCGAAGTGCGGAGCAGGCGAGGAGCTGCGAATTCGTGTGTTTGTTTGTTTTGAGGTACCTGAGTCCACTATGATCAAGAGCTCGTCTGGGTTGACTCGGAGTCACGGGTACGCCAGCTTTTGGGCTTGCAGAGGTGGGTTAGGGCGAGGGTGTTAATGAGATGGTGTGTTTATTAGCTTGAAACCGGCCGATATCGTACAATTTGATGATTTTGGTGACAGCGAAGAGCGAGTGAAGTCCGTTTCGAGGTGATTCCAAGCGGGTTGTACAGGAGAAGATTTCTGGTGTTAGAGGTTGGACACTGAGTTGCAATCACGTCACGCATATTAATGATTTGAAGAGATGGATAAGTGTGAGAATACGGTTGTGGGCGTAGCTTTGAGAGAAGCGGAGCGGGGCGCGGCAAAGTCAGGGAGGGAGGCGAACTTGGAAAGGGTGCTTGAATATGCGCAGAAAGAGATTTCATCGTCGAGTTTGAAGTCATTGTGGCAAGACGCCGCGGAATTTAGAAAAAATTCCAATGACCTGCCGAGAGATGTCTACGAGCGTGCAAAGCGAAGGATGGAAGACGCGCTGGGTCTGCGGGGACAAGCCGTGGAAGGACACATTGTGGGGCATGCGCTAATGCGCGGTTCTGAGGGTGGGTGTTTGAATGTGGTCCGACGGCTGCGGAAGGGCCAAATGGAGCTCAAGTGTTCGGTGCTAGTTCCCCGGTTTCTCGCTTTCGCGATGCTGAAGGCCACGGAGCTCGGCAACTATGAAATTGTGCAGGAGCTTCTGCGGATGTCGAACTCTGCGCACCTTGCTATGGTTGGGTTTGAGCTCGCCAACAAAGTGAAAGACGACGGCTACCCTTACACCGTTGTGAGCTTGACGAAAGACTGGCAAACAACTGTCCGTCACTTCAAGTCCTTCCTGCCGCCGGCGACTTACGTGCTGTACTCCGACAATCTGGAGCTTCGTAGATCCGGTTCGGATCAGGAACCCGTGCACGAAGTCACTAGGTCGTGCTACCAAATGTATTGTCTCTGGCGGTTCATGGTTGTGGCGGGGGCCAATGGCCATTCGGCTGTTTTTCAAAGTTTCCTCAAAAAGAGGGAAGAGCTTATTCGAAGCGGTGGTGCTACGAGAAGAAACTCAATGGGATATGAGCATCCGAAGGTAGCGGAGGTAAGTAAGCTGAGGAGCAAGATAGACGAGGAATTTTTACGCTACACTATGAAGATGACGGCGAAACTGGGACGCGACATGCTTCTGTGCGAGACTTACAGAGCTATGCTGGGAAACGCCTTGGAGGACGCGAAGAAGGGTAGTGACGCGGCATGGCAATGCACTGGTAGAGCTCAATTCGGGTTGTGGGAGATTGTGATGGAGGCTCCAGTGCTGCTGATGGAAGTCGAGGGATCATATCAAGACGCTGACAAGAAGAAGCTGATGAGAAACTATCACTACATCAAGCCTATTATTCCGCAAATCATGAAGCTCAACGTGCAGTTCAAGGTTATCATCGACGTGCAACCGAATTACATAGAGATGACGGTGGGAGTGAACCATGTGCGCGTGACGGTCGACAATCAATGTTGGGAGGAGTCGCAGACGGGGCACTTTCCTACGCGAGTATCCTTGGCCGTGACCCCAGTTGCGCAGACTTTGACATCAGTGACGATGACGGGCTCCTCCACGAACACCACTTACAAAGTCGGAGTGGCCGAGAATGTACGAATTGGAGTACAAGCTACGCTAAAGGCAGCGCCCACGGCTGGAATTTCGTTTCAGGCTGGGAAATCGACCATTTCGAAAGTGGAAGGGAAACCATGGCGGATGGAGCAGCTGCCGGCGCACAACGAGCGGGGCGGCAGCTACACTTGGACTTTGCAGAACCTTCACGGGGCGACCTTCGACCGCATGAGCCCCATGCTGCAAGAAACTAAGAAGTCTATATGGCAATTCGGAAAGAGAATCCCCGTCAACCCGTTGCTGGTTCTTCCTTTCGGCACAAATGGCGGTGTCAATTTCACCGGGACCGAGTTCGAAGACACACTCTCCTGGAGATTTTCCAACGATATGGAGAACCAGGACGTGCAGTTCAACATTGAGGGCCAAGTCCACACAACGCACATCACCCAAGATACATTCTGGGAGACGCGAGTTGTGCCATTCGAGGTGAAGCTGGAACAGAAACTCGAGCCATGCGGCGATCCCGCAGGTGCTGACAAGAAGAAGAAGAAAAAGAAAAAATAGTTCATGTTTCAGCCTCCCTTTCACTCTTCTCTGGCTTACTCTCGGCTGTGGCTCCACATTTCAAGCGCCTAAAAACTGACTCCAACTTGTCCAGTCACATGATCTTGCCAGAATTCGCAGTCGGAATTCTGAAATCTCATTGTTGTTACGATATGTTGGTTGAGTTATGACTGGGGCAGGAAGTATTTCGAGGGTGGCTCACGGAAGTTCTGCTGTGTAGAGGGCCGATTAAATTTCAGGATCAGTTCACTACTGGTTAATCTCGGATTCTTGCATTTTTGTTTCATGATTTAAGTAGATAGGAATTGGGAAAATTTGATGTAAACTAGAATTTCTATTCAGCTTGTTGAAAGTTTCAGAGGGCTCAAACCTCAATTGCTCGTGACTGCAATTCTGCCATGCTGTGTACCTGCACAATTTTGTGCTACGTGGGTGTGTGCAAATCCAAGTGCATTCTATGTATTCTAGGAATTAAGTTTAAGATATTGCTAATATCACCACAGTATTTGTCATTGTCACCACAACTTGTTCACAACATGCTGTTACAGTCTTGCCATTCACCACAATCCATCATCCACTCAATATATTTCTTCGGTTTATTTCTTTCAATTAGACATATTGCTGATCGACCCCATCAACAAGATCAGGATCAAAATTGGCTGCATACGAAGCAGATCCTTTGGGTCAAATCTCAAATAGCTGCAGTGTTAAATGAAGAGTGACCCCGAACTCACATAGGAGCTTGAAAGCAAGGAGCTCAAAGCAATGCCACTGAAATATCTTTACATTGAAGCTGCTTTACATCAGTAACCCCAATGCAATGAAGCAACAGAAGGCGATTCAGTTTCACACGTGCAAAACGGTTTGTGTGGGATATTAAAGGTGTTACTGAATCGGACTGAAGTGACCAATGCGTCCTCCCAATGCAGACCACTTGGGAAAATGACGTGGACTCGATTGCGCAGACAAGTTTCACATACACAAAACAGCATGCTAGTAAAACTTCAACTGTTGAAACCTTGCAAAAAAGCTTCATGTTACACTGCTTAGTCGTATTTACGATAACGACCATCACCATCGTGTAGATAGCACTCCTCTCCAGCAAAAGAACTAAACAGTGACTGGACGAGCAGCCGTGTGTGGAAGTAGCACTCAACTCGGTTACTGATTTCGGAACTCTGTTAAAAATGCAGTAAAGACGTCCAAAGAAGCAATCGCTATGGACCAGGGGCGCCACTTCGATGCAGTACACCATGTGATATTCTAGGAAGGATACTAGTGCAAAATTGACTGTCTACGAGTCCTTGGAAGCGTCCTTGGAATCTTTTGATGAGCTCTTTTTCTTGAACGACTTTCGCTGCTGCGAGATGTTCTTCGACAATTTCTGGGTAAATGAGGTACCCTGTGACAACAAAGCAAGTACGAATAAATTAGAACAAATACAAGGAAATCATCCTTGATAATAAATTTCTCCTATGGGTATGACAAAACTTGTACATCACAATGCTTGCCAAAAACTATCCTCATTACTAGAATGATCTGTAGATCTAAAACACAGAAAGATGAATGCTGGTAGGTTGCTCGTCTATAAAAAGTAAAAAATAAAAAATAAAATAAACTAACAAAAACAACGATACATTGTGCTAAGCCAGAAATTTACAAAAGTTCAAGAGCTGAAGGGAGCTTACTTGAAGCCATTCACTGGCATGAGCATCACTGTTGGTACGGGTACCTGTCTCAACTTTCTTGCTGCTCCTTTTTTGCTTCTGTGAAAAGATGGTAGAACACGTCAAACTACGTAAAATATCTAAAGTTCAAGTAACTGGTATGAAATAAAATAAAAAGAAATGCAACGATCGGAGAATTTGATAAATACCTTGATAAGATCCTGGACTTTAGAATAGACCCACATGCCCAGATATCCCAGCAAACCCAAGCCCAAAGTGGAAAGGAAAATCGTTTCCCCACTCACAAAGCCGCCAGATTCCACAATATCAATAGTGCTATTGAAGAAGACATGCGTGTAAGCTTTGTTATCCAGCTCGTAAATAAACTTCCCAACGAAGTCATAGTTTCCTGGCTGCAATACAACTGTATATTATCCATCTGAAAAAAGGTTACAGGAAGTTCAGAGCAAGCACACATTAGCGCTTGTGCTGATACTGAAATCCCTGATGGACATGAAAGTAAAACAGTTCCATCAGTCCTCTGAGAACACTAATGCGCATTCGTATCATATACACGATAATATTCTAAGTATTTCAGAGGCTGTGGACCAACAATTTAGCAAGGAGGTATCGTAAGCACCATAGGACGATATTGAGTTGCTTGCTCAGTAAACACCAAACTCTACCTGGAGAAACTTGACAACACCGAACCAATAGCTGAAAGTCGCCTTGTTGCCTTGTGGGATACTGCTAGAGTACTCCTACAATCATCACCCAGAAATAGCCAAGCGACAGTAAGAGGAACTTCCAAAAAGTGTCCAAGTCGTAAAAAGCCCTATAGATGTCAAAGCTATTAAGAACGACACTTTACATTATCAACTGCAATACATTACAACGAAATGAAGCTCCCGAGTACGTAAACGCGGAATACAGTGAAAGAAAGAAACTTTACCACTGTCACAGAACAGCAAGACATACCTGAACGGTAAAGTTTTGAATGATAACACGATGGTCATGTGGAAGGTGAAGACTGGCACGGACATATTGCACTTGCATGGGACCAGCTCCTGCAATTTGTATCGTAGATTACTGTTAATACAAAAATTCTGTCACTGAAATGAAACGAACATACAGGTTCAATCTGACATCATTTCCATGTGCGACAAAACCCCAGACAACAAACTCCAATATGTTTTAACCCGTCGATCATGACAACTCACCTAAAAATCTACATAAATGTTATTTAATACCATGTAATTTCGAATAATCAAAAATATCTTAACACATGAATATATGACATCCTGGAAAAGTGTAAAGATTACCGTCATTGGTTATATTGATAAGAACTTGCGTAGGCTCGCCTGCTTTCACAACTGTTAACACCAGGCCAGCATCTCAGAAGTCAACATAGACGAGTGATTAAAATGGTCAAAAAATGATTATGTTTAAATAAAATAAAATAAAGGGTAATATAAGCATAATCAGAAAATATTAGTGACTCTATCTGCACAAGACGTACCGTATCGGCAAAAATAAAAATAAAAACAAAACGTCAAGGAAGACTGACTGTATGAGCAGTATTCTGCAATCTTACCAGTGAGAACAGTAAATGAGTAAAGATCACTACAAGAGCATTAAACTTCTTTGATTTTCCACTGAGTTGAATAATACCTACATGATTAACTCTACCCCGAGCAGTGGAAGTTCGTGCAACCTTACTGTTCACATAAAAAAGCATCACAATCCTCCAATTTGTCGAGTTAACATTGTAGAACATAGAAAAAAGTCAAAGACACTGACCATTGTTTAGATTTTTGGGAAAATAAACAGCTGCTACCACTCCTGGAGCAGCTCCAATATATTTATCCTCCGTAAAAGATTCTTTTACAGGTTCATCAATAGTCTCCTCGCTTGTTTGTGGTTCTGGATCCTCACTGCTTGAAACTGGAATTACTGCAAAATCAAGATTCAACAGCATATCCTCAGGACGACAACCCCAACTTCGATTTCAGCAATACACGTGCTTCAGCACAACTCACGTTCAGCTATGCAGGGATGACGAGTAATGATTTATACTGAAAGACTAATTTCATCTGGCTGGTAGGAGGAAGTCTATCCCCATCTAAGCTGTAGACTAACTGGCAACACTCCTCAAAAGGCAGGCTAATGCACGGTGTAAGATCATCAAACAATCTACGGTATTCGCACCATCCGCATCGCGGAGGAACACGAATTCAATAGTATTCACTCCTTCAAGCCTAAACCATTACAGAAGCGAACGGTGTACATGAAATGCAGGCATTTCCCAGGAAAACACAGAAAACGAAACCCTACGACATCACCATATAAGACCGAATAAAACACTTCAGCCAGGTTGCATTGTAAAACATTTAAATCCCATTCACATTGGCACCAAACCATATTCAAAAGATCCAGTACAATCAAAACAAAGCGCACCAAATAGAACAAATTCATATGAACGCAGTATCGTGAACCAACAGTAAACCAGTAAACCCCCAGGGACAAACATGTGCAACAATAACGATCCCAAGCTCAAACAAAATTCCAACAAAGCCTCTCCTCGCTCTTGTGATACCACCCAGAGCTCAAGCCTACAACACCACCCCTAACGCAACGTAAAAAAACCACAGGAAAATATACATATATATATATATATATATATATATATATATATAGAGAGAGAGAGAGAGAGAGAGAGAGAGAGAGAGCGAGAGAGAGAGAGATGAACATGTATCCACACACAACAAACGACTCACTTACACATTTACGAAATATCCACGCACCACCATCCAATACTCACCGATCCATCCAACGCTCCCCCGAAACCTGAAACCTTCCAATTACGAACACAAAAAAAAACACTAAGACCGGCGGAGGAGCCAACTCACGCACCGAATGTTGGCATGAGAACCGCTGAGACCAGCAGCAGCAGCAGGACAGTAGAGCTCCAGAGTCCCTTGGCCATCGCCATCGCCGCTCCTACTCGCTCCCAACGCCTCAAAGCTCGACGAGAACACGAAGAGGACGACGAAGCCAACAGTGCGAACAAAAAAAATCCTTTCCAAAGCAAAAGGAAAATCAAAACCCTCGCTTACTCTGCCCTCTGGAACGTGTATGTACGCATTTCGTACATGATTCACCATTTTGAAGAATCTAGGAACGAGGCTGAATATTAAGGGAGAAAGGTTGGAAGGCATGCAAGTATTATTGAGGTTGACTTTAGTATTGCCAAGTATTGACACGATTTTGGTAATGTGCATGAAATGGTATCTGGGGCATGCTATGTTAGGGTTTCAATAGTTCATCCATCCATTTCGGTCATTCATCTGGGTTCCGGGAGCGCTTCGTTCATCCATAATTGTCACTAATGTAGGTGCCTTGTGAGTGTGAATGTGTGAGGAGTTTTAATGCTAATGGACGGGAGAAGACAAATAAATAAGTATTCATTGATATATTTATATATATATATATATATATATGTATATATATAATATTATTAGCTTATAAAAGTAATATGAGGGAGTATTATAGAGAGAGTGTGTTAAAAGAGCTTTACATAGAACTTATAAGGAGATTTTTTTCTTTTGTTTTGAAGTAATTTTTTTGGATTTGTTACATACATCTTCAAAGTCATTTTTTTTAACTTGTATTGTGTGCAGGCATATGTCTATATATATATATATATATATATATATATACATAACCGTAGTCTGCTACAATTCTACACGCTGGTAAGCATGGTTTTTCTTTTTGCTCATTAGAAATGGTCCTGAGTAGTTTAATTGTGAGTAGGGAAGTAGAGGGATTTTTATAAATCAAAATTTACAATCCTTCACTATTTTTTCATTGAATTTTTAATATCTATTTATGTTTATTTAAGTAGTATAAAATGTTGGAATTTTTTAACTTATCATTTGTAATAGCAAACAAATTATGTCAAATTATTACCTACAAAATATAGATATTTATATATTAAAATATAATTTTTGAATTAAAATAAAGTTTTTTATACTTGTAATAATCTAAAAAATTATAAATATAATATCTTAAAACTCATGTAATATGACAAAGAATCAAGATTGGTTTTTAAATTATAAAAACTTACTATTTAGTCCTAAGGTTTATTTGGGCTATAATAGTAGACTCACCATAAAAAAGAAAGGAATCTATTTCTTGAATTTTCCTAAATTTTATAAAAAGGAATAAGCATGATATCTTTAATATATTAGAAATTGGAAAGAGTTTTCTAATTATTAGTAAAATGAAAAAATATGAAATATAAATCCAACATTAAAATAGAAAATTATACTATAGAAGACAATAAAAATATCATCAAAAGTGTTGGATTTGATACCTTGTATAGTATATTATTTTCAACTAAGAAAAATAACATTCTAATTTTTTAATTGAAAAACAAAAATTCAAAAAAAATCATTTTTGGTCTGAATGACTTCATCAATTTGACCTATTAGGCTTTAAGAAATTACAAGCAAAGGATTTGGATTTAGGCAAACATATAAAGTTAGAATTTTGTTAAGACTATGTTAATATATATATATATATATATGGTTTTCTTAAAAAAAAAAAAAAAACAAACAAACAAACAAACAAACAAACAAACAAACAAACAAACAAAACAAATAAGTCTAAGTTTTTAGAGTTAATATATGTTAACTTAAATGGTCCAATGGTGATAATATTAAAAAGAAGGGAAAATACTGTCATCTTTGTTAATGATTTGTTTTACAAAATATTTTTGCCTAATTTGGAGACCAAAAATTAAAGATTAGGATTGGATTTAAGATTTTCGAGGACCTAGTTAAAAAAAAATAGATCTCGATATTTAAAACCATAGAATAATAATGGTAGTGAATATAATTCCAAGGCTTTAATTAATTAATTATTATGTCATAGCATTTAAAAGAAGCTTCAATATCTCATATATCTGAATAAAATGAAACAATATATCAAAAAATCATATATTATTTGAGAATATATGTTGCATGTTGCAACATAAGCAATTTTTAACTGCATTTTAGTCAAAATCCATTGATGTAATAAAATATGTTCTTAATTAAGTTCTATGTATGATTGTAAAAAAGAACATCACTTAAAGAAGTATAGTCTGGTAAGCAGCCTTTACTCCAACATGTTTTTGCTTTTAAATGTAATAGTTATGGACATGTTTTATATTTTTAAAAATAAAGAATAAAGAACAAACTCTATTATAAAGATTTACGATATCAAGTTCGTTAAATATAACAACATTAATTTTAAAAAATAATTTTAAACATTTCAATTAAAAAACTTTACAAACAATATTTGAATTTAAGTCAATAAAATTTGTGTTTAATTTTTTTTTTTTTTTTTTTTAAAAAAGGAAGAAACTTAGATATTTACAAAGGTTATAATTACTTTTATATTGAAAAATCATCTATGAGTTGAAAGATATGATCACAAGCTACTATAATCATACTTATATTCTTTCTTTATTTACTTCTACCATCACCAACATTGATTGACTTTGGTCGTAGAGGAAGTAAAAATATGCATAAAAAATTTTATTCAAAACTATGAGAATTTAGTTGTAGTAGCAAAGATGACTATAGGTATTATACTTCTCATAATTTTTATATTTGAAGCTAAGAAAATCTATCAAACAAATGTAAAAAACAACATTCTTAAATAGAGACTTTAAAAAAGATATATATATATATATATATATGAATAAAATTTAATATAATATTTTGAGAGGTGAAGATTACAATTGTATGTGAAAAAAACTATTTTAGACTTATGCAATCTCTAAAGACATTCTATAAAAGAAATAAATAAGCACCTTCTCTCACAAAGTATAAAAATAAGTCTTGTGGATCCTAACACCTACATATTATAAATTGATGGAAGATTCAGTGTTGTCTTGTTTTATGTCATTGATTTGATTTTAATTTGTAAAAAAAAATCTATCATTTTTTAAAGGAAAAGAATTAATTTTCCAAGTAATTTTAAATGAGGGATATTAAATAAATTTATTATATTCTTCATTTAAAAATTATTAGAGATTAAAGGAATTGTACAATTTTCTTCAATCAATAAAAATAATGTGAAGGACATTCTTTAGGAATCTTGTATAGAAGATTACAAATCTTTAGCTTTATTTTTAGATGTCAATAAAAAAATTATTAGAAGATATGAGAAGAAAAATCCTTGAAGATATTAAAGCAATGGAAAATATTTCACTTAAAAGTACAACAAATAATCTTGTATTTACAACAATTGACATAAAAGTTAATATTGTGTATGTTGTAGAAATTATGAATCAATACATGTTATGGACATAAAAAGTTATTTGGATAAGCAATGTGAGGTAGAAAATAAATGTAGGTAGATTTGATAATATCTTATGAAGAAGCTTTATAGAGGCAGATTTGACTTTATATGTATTTGTAGTTGATTGATAGGTTGGAAACTTGGTCAATAAGTTGGTTATGGACTGTACATGTTGGCAAATTGTGGTATAAGTTGGCCATGTGATTTACATGTAGGAAACTTTTCTTGCAATTTAGACACGTGTTAGAGGTCATATAGAACATCACCATGTAGCTCTTAGATAGTATGTATAGAGTGGATCCTTCTTCACTCTTATCAATGCCTTTCTTATTCTTAGTCTAGTTTTAAGAGATTTTATTCTTCTTGTCTTTGGCAAAGCCATTCTAGTTCTAATACTATGCTACTTTTGAATAAATATATATTCTTCATAAGTGATACAAGAGTGTATTGAGGTTTTCATTGTTTGTCATTTATGTCCTTGATAATACATGGAAAATCTAAGCTCACAATATTGGACTATTCTAAAGCTAGTTTTACAATATTTAAAAGACATATTGGTTTATGTTCAATAATATAATCAATGTTCTTTAAATTTGCAATTGGTTAGTTACTACAAAATAAATTAGGTTTTTAATGTTGACACTTAACATTCTAATATTGGTTATACATTTGTGTTGGATAGTATTGTTATTAGTTAGAATAGTACAAAATAAACAATAGTCATATTGTCTACAATTAAAACAAAGTGTATAGCCACTACTTATGTAACAAAAGAAACACTTTTGCCTCACAAGCTATTCAATGATATTTGATTTTTATATGACAATCCTACAAGTATTTTTTATATAAACCAAATTAGTACTTAAGTTTTAATAAATCATACATTCTATACTTATACTAACTATGTTAAAATCCAATATTACTTTGATCTTAAAAATATTAATAATATAATTATAATCTTAATTTTTTTTTAAAACATATGACATGATTGCAAAATATTTTGACAAAAGGTCTTATTTGAAAAGAACATTGTTGGTTCAAGAAAATATATCATAATTTAAAAATTTGTATTTATATAATTATATTAAATATCTTATTATATTTTTTATATTTTGCATTTCATGTTTTTTTCTTCTTCTAAATATATATGTATTTTTTTAGTTTAAAAAATTAAATAATTGACTAATGTAACTATTTTTTATTATATTTATGTATTTACTTATTTTGCATGTATATATATTTTTTTCCATTATTTTGTGTTGTTCCTATAGAATATCAACAAAAAAGTTTATATTAGTCTTTAATATATATATATATATATATATATATATATATTACACATTAATAATCTATTTTCAAAAAATATTTTAATAAAAATAAAAAACTCGAATATTCTCAATATATATATATATATATATATATATTTGTGTCTATATAAGATAGCTTGGATATAACACAAAGAGAGAAAGAAGTCTTCTAATTGGCTGTGAAAAAGAGAACCTAGGGAAGGTGGAAATGAGAGAACATGGGAATCAAGAAGCATGAATAAACAAAGGAATAGATAGATGTGTCAAAAATTGCAATGCCCAATGGCACATGTTTCCACTAGTTTATGTATGTATATATACACACATATAAGGGAATATTAAATAGATCTAAGTTTCTACTAAATCAATCCATCCAGCTTAACTATCATGGAAAAAGAAAATGACATCTAGGTTCATTTTTCTACTATTGGATCTACAACCATTAAAAACCAACCACATTCATTATGATTACCATATTCTTTATCAAGAACGGGTCTATTTAGTAAAACTATGGGTCCATTTAACATTCCCCCCTCTCTCTCTCTCTATATATATATATTCACACATTTGATACAATATTATAATAAATATAATAATATTATATAATTGAATTTATTTTAAAATTTGTTCATAGAATACTAAGTCTTTTTCCTTCTCTTAAGAAATTACTATATTTTTTAGAAAAATTATTTTATACTTTTGAATTTATAATTACAATAAGTAAAGTAAAAGCACAATTTATATTGACCTATGTATATATTTCAAAGAGAACATTAAAGAAAATTGATTGATTTGAATAAGCATGTAATTTTACATGAAACTATTATCATCATTATAATTAGTATCATTTCTTCTTCTTCTTCTTCTGTCTGGATGCACCATCCATAAGGTTGAGCCAGTTCAAGAAACAAGAGCTAGCCTTAAATTTGCCAGTTTTAGGGTTGCGGTTGTTTTCATCGTCGTCTTCGTCGTGGACCATGCGGGTGCACGAATGTCGGAGATCCTGATTCGAGAATTGCGAGTTCAACTCTGAGTTGAGACGGAGTCGAAGACGAAGAAGACGCAGGGAGGGGGTTTAGGGTTTAGCGGTCTCTGGCTGAGTTTCTCTCGGAGTCGTCGACGCTGGCTGGCTGATTCCCTGCCTGCCTGCCTGCCTCGATCGCAATCAATTGATCAGCGCGGCGGAACCCGTTGCATTACAAGTGCATCACCATGAAGCACCGTCATTCCATGCGCAAGCTGGGTCGGACATCTGCCCACCGATGGGCGCTGCTTAGGTTGGCGTTCGGGCCGTGATCACTGGCATTTGGGTGCTGTGGGTGGGGGATTGGCTTGTATGAGAGGGGAACCGGAGTAACGTACGTTTTTGGTGTTTGATGGGTGCAGGAATCTCGTGTCGCAGCTTGTGCAGCATGAGCGAATCGAGACCACTGTTCCTAAGGTTAGGGGCGGTGCAACGCCTCTCTGTTGCGTTGTTGCGGATTTGGGGTTTTCTGTGGGTTTTGTTCAAATCATTTTGGGCTTTTGAGTTCGGAGTATATTGCATTCCGGGCGTTAATACGCTCGTGGCTGTGATTTGCGGGATTCATTTCTCTTCTCAAGGTTCTCTTTCGTCTAAGCCGATGGAGGATGAGTACTGGGGATAGTACATGCATGACTTGTCGCACTCTATGACGAGCCGCGTTCCTCGATGATGGGACGTAATTTTAGGTTTTGGTTGTGTTGAAGAAGGATACTCTACGAAGACCGGGGCACATCTTTTCGGGAATCTGTTTAGGTTGAACTATGAATGCGAAAAAGCCAGTGTAATCTACTTCTATGCACTTCGAATCATGGATGTGTAGGAGAAATTTTCTTTAATTCAGAAGCAAAATTCTTTTTTCCTTTGTTTGTTTGTTTGTAACGATGTCAAGGGCGTGGCAGGCGAAAGAGTTGAGGAGAGTAGCAGATAATATGGTACAACTTGGAAAAGAGGTAATGATTCTTCGAAGTATTTCTATCTACGAATAATCTGTCCTGAGCCAGAGAATGTTAACTGAATTAGTTTCCTTTTTAAACTCCTCGAAATTGATATTTGTGCTACTTCAGGGCACTTTAGCTGCGCGACGAAGAGCTGCCGCGGTTATCCACGGAGATGAAAACCTGCACAAGGTCTTTTCAGAACTAGCTTTTCGTTACAAGTAAGTTTTTGGGGCAGGAATCCTGATATTTGTTCTGCATGTAGCAGCCATCTTCTTGCACCTATTGTTTTGCTTAGCAACGTGTTAATGCTTTCATATGAATCGAAGGTTTTCAGAAATAACATCCTGTAATAGGACTTTTATAGTCAATATGACAATCTTTTGTAATTCTGCCTTCTGCAGCGTATTTTGTTTTCTGCTTAACAAACGCAGGTCTAATTTGTAACATGCATTTAGGAGGTTAATCTTGTGTCCTGATTATTCTGGAAAATTACTTTTTGCTCCAAATTTTGATGTAAGTAAATGACACTCCTACTTCACATTTGAGGTTCCCAACAATTGTCTGTTTGTCTCTTTTAGAGATAGAGCAGGCGGGTACACTCGAGTGCTGGCTACGCGGTCTAGGCAAGGAGACGCAGCTCCTATGGCTTACATAGAGTGAGTACCACCACTACCTCTGTCAAACCTTTTCCTTCGAAGTTGTATGTTTCAGAGAAAATGGCACATAAGCTCGGGATGTTGTTTTGATGGAGATCTTTTTTTTCTCTTTTATTGTCAAGGAATGATCACCTTTTCTAGCTGACTTTATGTTACGTGAGTTGATCAAGTTACCCTTAACTGAACGTTCAACTGTGCAGGTTTGTTGATCGACCGAATGAACTTCGGGAATCTAAGCCACCAGTTACACCACCTGCCCCAAGGGTCCCTTTACCTCCGTGGCTACAAGCCCGCCATGCTCGCTGTTTTGCTCCTGCGGACTCCGGTCTATAGGCTCTCGAATATCAACTGCAAAGCTAATGGAAATAACGAATTAAATGAAGAGGTTAGGCGTCTATTGCGGAAAGAGTAAAGCATTTGGCGACCCAGACGCCTGGGCATTCTGATAGTCTAGTTTCTGTAGGCCCTCGACTTGCCCTACTAGATAATACGACATTCAACATCTTGTTCCACCAATGTGAGTGAGTGAACTCGCAAATTACATGAAAACGACTTGTCTGAAAAATTTGACCAGGAATCGAGTATTTATATATCCTTGTGAGATTTAGTAGCCTAACTTTCAGTAGGATAATCCCTTGTAGACTTATAAATCTTAACTTCAACGTTTTGGCTTCAAGAACGAGATCAGGATTTTGTCAAATCAGTATGAACGAAATACAAATTGTTGAGATCTCGAGAGAAAAAATTATTTACATAATGCCCTGGTTTTGCACATCATGCAATTTGCAGCAAGGAATTGGCCTTGAATCTGTGGATTAAGTTCACATCGAACACTAAAATTACTGCAGAGTACTATGCTAGACAAAGAGTCTACAATTGGGAAGTTGCTGCCAACTTGACCAGATCAATAGGACAGGCTTCCGAGAAGCGTGAAAGTGGGGACTAGTTTCTCATCAATTTTGAGGCAATATCGCTCCAAAGTGTACATGTCATACATGGCGGAGGCCAGCTTCATGGCCACACGGTGCGCTGGCTTGTGAATTGCCTTCACCGCGTCGTCCCGACTCGCCCAAATGCACATCGCTAAGCACTCGCGCCGCTCGTTCAGAATTCCGTACCAATACTACCAGCACAACCACAATGCAATACCCATCAGAATTCAAGTCAATGCATACCAACGAATCATCCCAATGTGAAGAAAATCAGTGTCCAATTTTTGAAGTCATGCACGGCATCCACCTTGAGCAGCCCGCCGCTGATGCGTGCCTCCTCCTGTGCTGCGGCATCTGCCTTGTACAGCATCTCAGAATTGGCGGTGGACTTTCGGATGGAGCGGAATACCACCAAGTAAAACTCTCTGCCATGACATTCCACCAAGTCTCCCAGCTCTTTTCCCCAGTCGAAGCATTTCTCGACAGGGGTAGTGAGCGGGTCCGTGTGCGCATACTCGTTGGCAGCCAGCTGCTTCACTGCGTACATTTCTGACAACTCCACCTTCCCTGCATTCCGATGGATCGTCATGTTTCGCCTCGAAAAACCGCCAAGCAATCCTCCTGCACCCGGAGCAAAAACCTCATAAACATGTAGACAACGTCACTCAATCAGATCCAATACAACACTTCACCTTGTCAAGGGTCGTTGAATCCATGGCGTGGGTGGACATAAACTGCGCAAATCCCCACATAAGAAAACAAAGAAATCTCACGACTGACTGCATACTCTCAGAGAAAAGCTCCAAACAAGCAGCTTTCTGATGGATGAAGCGCCGTCTCTCTCTCTCTCTCTCTCTCTCTCTCTCGCTCTCTCTCCCTGGGCCCTCCTCTTCAATCCCACACGACTCTACCAGCACTATAATGGTGATACAATTGACACTCCGTGCAGGGCATAGAAAAACGAAAAGAATGAGAATGTCGATGTTCCACCGAGGAATGCATTCAATGGAACAGTGCCGATCGGTTGAGGAATTGCTACAAGGTGACAATTCCCGCAATATGAATTGGGAAAGGAGGTCAACTCACACCGGCCGAAGGAATGTGGACGCCTATGGCGTCCACATTTAGGTCTGACGAGATCGTGACCTCGTTCAGTGTACCGTGCAGTGTTCGGCAGGTATAGTGAAAGTCTTTGCATGTAACAGAGGTGCATTGTAGGATGCATGTGGGTTTAAAGTTGAGTCTCTCGACGATCTAAATTTGCTCTTGGTTGTTATTTTTGAAGAAAAAAAAGCACCCATCTGGTTTAACTGTTTTGTTGCACAGCTTATGGTGGTGCTGCTGCTTTTGAGCTCTAGAATTTTCATCAGGTTGGAATAGTATTGCATTATGAATGAAAAGTATAAATACTTCATTTCAGAGCTCAAGGTAGAGTATGACACTTTCTAATTAAAAATTTGCTACTAAAGAGAGACCGAAGTGATAACCGTTGAGCATCCGACACGTTTTCTGTGATTGTTGTAAAAAGATGGCTATGGAACGTTAAGAATAGCACCACAGTTACTTCTTGTGTAAAACATTCGCATGGGTTCGATACGTTCCTTTCCAGTGCAGGGTACAATTCCAGCAGGCGTGGTTAAATATTGGCCCGTTACGACATTATATTGCTATAAGATGCTTTCAGAACTGAATGAAACTTGGGATGGCACATTTTAGGTAACCCATTTGCAAATGATCGACCGCCGTTCACCAATAGCCCTTCGGTACCATACACGTTTCACATATCGATTTCTGCCATCGATCCTTGTTTCATAAACTGGTTTTCGAAGGAACATTCTCGGTGCAGAATGCTGGTTCTGGGAGAACTATCGGTTTGTATGTTCGATTGAACATATTTCAGCACAATGATAATTGCTCTATAATGTTCGAGGAGATAATTTTCTCATGAGAAGTTGTTTCACTATCCATCAATAACAACTCTTGTATATGGCTATCTAAAACGAAGCATACCAAAATTCCTAAAAATATAATATAATTTTATGCTATCTAAGATTTTGGGATGCATAAAATTAATTCTTTGAATCTGTGGACCTTATTGGCATGTCTAACACTCATCGGAATGGGGACTGAAGGGGAAAAGGTCAAGAAATAGTGGACCAATACCACACCCATTAGAATCAACTCTGTAAGAATAATTTATCATACAAAAATATGTTCCACAAAGTCCTCATTGCTAGAGAATACTTCGGGGCAGTGCTGAATAATAGAATTCAGAAAGGATGTCTAAACGTATGGCTTTTATAAGGCGAAAAAATCCAAAGCTTCGCCCTCTCTAGGATACTCTAAACAGAATAAATTATGCAATGAAAGGATTCAAAGTGAATTGGTATACAATACGGCTAGATCAGAAAAAGTTGACCCAGCTTTTGGTATCCATCTAAGACATTTTCCTCTTGGTCGTATCTAGGCTTCTGCAGTGTGCCGAGACAGAAGTAGCTACAAATTCTAAATGTTGAACTAACTTGCTAAAGAAGCAACATCAACACATTATGACTATGGAAAACTAAGTGAGACTCATGGGGTGTTACATGGTTGGAGGGTACCAACAACTAAAGAGATTTTGAGGGTTGTGCCAGCTTGAGAGGTGGGATGAATTTTGCCAACTGCAACCGACGGACAATTCGAGCACTCCTTCTAGTGATTCAACTTCGGAACAACTCTGAGTCTGCATGAATCACAACCAAACTGCTTTTGTCATAAAGAACTACACCATGCCTCACTTGATACACTTTTGCAACAATTGACCGACTCCTACAACGCTTCTCTGGTCCCAAATATTTCTCAAAGGCCTACTGCATGAAAAATATTCCGTACTTACCAGATTGGCAACAGTTCCCTCAATATTAAAAAGTATAATTCCAAGTCCTCTTATCTTATCCGTTTCAGCCTGCAATTAACAAGCATAAAGCTCGGACGTAAGAATATGTTAAAAATTGATAATCCTTGATGAAAAACTATCCAAACTAAACATTGTATGATTTTCAAAGACATAAAATGATATATTGCTAAAAGTTGGTACGTGACATACTGCACAGGCCCTTATTCGAATCCCAGCGGCAACGAGAATGGCCGAAACTTCTGCAAGCATACCTGTGGATCATACATACCAACATTCAGTATAATATATCAACTGCTACTACAAATCAAAAAAACAATGAATTCTTTACCAAGTTAGTCCATACCATCATAAGTACCAACACTCACTTACAAACAAAAAAATCAGCGATATGAGAAGCACAAGCCCAGCTGTTTCCACATTAGTTTGCAAAGCCAGTTGAAGGGAATTACTATTGCGATCATGACAACAGACGCTGAACCATTGCACAGGGCCACCTCCAGAATTCTGCCATGAAGCTATCCTGTCAGTTTGCCAGGCTTGAATACTAGCTCTGGCTTCATCCTGAATGTAGCGGATCTTATATTTCGCAAAGCCATTTCCTCCAGCTACTTTTGCAACCAGATCCCCTGCTAGCTTAAAGGCCGCTCCATTCATCGTCCCATGAGACTTTGGCTTCCAGCTCAGTGAATCGTACTGGTAAGAGTTTTGAAGGAAAGGGTCACCGTTATTTGTACTGGATGATCTGCCATTGCCATTAGAGATGGTTGCACATGTGTCGGAAGACGAGGACTCTTCTTCAGATTCATCCTCATCCAGATCGGAAATAAACTCCTTTACGCTGTCTGCTGTTATTTCTGCAGCAGATAATGCAGCTTGCTCCTTCAAAAACTGCACAATACCATGAAGCACAGGTCAAGATAAGCATCTGTTATAACAACCACTGAATTAAGCACGATGCCGAGTAAAGGGGGGTAAATTGCTTACTTTTGTAAGTTTGTGTCGGGCACTTCGAGTCATTGCATACGCCAACCACTGTCTATGCAGCTGGAATATTTTCTTGGTGGAGACACCCTACACATTGCAGGGAAGGTTCTATCAAGAGAAGAGAACACCTAGGACAAACACAATCTTCCAGAAAAAGTATTTAGCACACTAAAGGTATCATTGAACAGGTAAAGGGAACCTCCGTCTCCCCGATGAAAGCCATTGTGAATCAGGAAACCATTGTAATTGAATGAGAGAGCTTGTGCAGAGAAAGAACTCTCACATCATAAGTTACAATCTCCACAACCTCTGCATTTGCAAGGGTATGTGTTGGTGAAACCAGGATACCATTGACTTTGGCAGCTACCATCTTATTTCCAACATCTGTATGGATCTGATAGGCATAGTCAATAACGGTTGCTCCTTTTGGCAGATTCTTCACCTGAAATAAAGTTGAAAATTGCAAAGCATGAGAGCAGCTGATACAAATGAAGTCATAATTAGAAGGGAAAATATATACAATTGTCGGTGAGGCTTGCTACAAGTGAAAGCCGCATGAGTCAATAGTTTTGAGCACGTAAATACGAAAACAGACGGTAATTTCCTTAAGTTAGTACTTTCCAAAAGTAGATGGAAGACGGACGATATCAATAATCCATCGAGGTTACAAGAAAAGACCAAGTAATTACCTCTCCTTTTGGAGTAAATACAAAGACCCTGCTTGAAAGCAGATCACCGGTCACTGTGTCAACAAATTCTCTAGATGACATGTTACCAACGAATTCTTCCTGCCAATCTCGGATGGACTTGAGCCAGCTTACCTGCACAATAATTCGGACAAAGAATTCGCTAAGAAATATGCTACATCCTAGGCACAAATTCATGGACAAGAAAAAACAGATGGATCATCATTATTCGACTCTACTCACCCTTCGAGCAATATCCGCATCGTTCAAGCAGGTGTTCGAACTTGGCGGATTCGAAGCTAAATTACCAGCCGCAGCACCATTTGTTCCCTTGCGAGCAAAAGGTCCCATCGCATCAGACTCGCGTTCAGCCACCCATCTCCCGCTATGATGAGCTGCAATGCCCCATTCTGCAAGTTTATCCATTTCTTCCGTTCGAATCTGGCCACCAGCACGACCACGTTAATAAAACTGCAATCTCTCACCTACAAAAACCACAATTCAATCAATCAACTAATTAAAAAAAACACTCGTTATTTAGTCACAGAACCTGAATTTCGATGGGGAAGTAAGTCTGTGTGCCGAATGGAATAACTGTGGTGTGCAAACTTTGATAACCATTAGGCTTTGGTGTAGCAATGTAGTCTTTCATCTGCACAGCCAAAGTGAAGCCTAAGTCACACGACACTATTGCAAACTGTAAGGAACGGATAAAACATAAAGTTAAATGCACCTCATGGGTGTACCACAACGAAGTTAGGATCTGCGCACCGTTTGAGGAAGTGGAGGCCACATAGCATGAACCAGTCCCAACACATGATAGCAGACCTGAACAGGAAACAAGTGAAATTATTCGTACACGTTCCTGCAATGGCGAAGCAAAGGGAAACTGAGAGCGACGAACTTATTTTACCTGCTGTACATTACAAAGGTGACCGACCGAAGTAGCTGGTTTTAATTTCAAAACGATCCTCAACTGCAACAAAATACCCAAATCAATCAATGTTAGATTTGCGCACCCATTTAAAATTGAGGCAAATACACATGACGATATCATTATTTCAATCGAAGTGTCTCTCGTGAAGGCTCAATAGGATAGCCAGACATTGAGATTCCAACCCATACCTGTGCAATATCTCGAACCTCCTCTGCTGAGATCTTTTGATCCGCAATCTTCTTGTAAATACTGTCTCAATAAGAAGAAAATAAGTACTACTGTAACCATTAAAAGCCATTGCACTTCTGAGTTCGAGCATGTACTCCTGCTACCAGTGGTAGGATTAGTGAAAACTCAGTTACCTAACAAATTAAAATCAACATTTGCATCAAACTTCAACGCATATTTCACAGTATATGGGTTAATGGTGAAGTACCTATACAGCTGTTTGGAAAGAGTGGCAACTTTTATGTCTTCAGTCATGTAGCCCAGGAACTGATCCCTTGAAATTGTTTCGTAGAGGACTTTTTTGGCCTGTATCCCCGACATAATCGTGTTCAGATATCAGATTTATGGACACAAAACCTTTAAGCTTGATCTATCGGTTTTAAGAAATCGTCGGTTACCTCTACAACCACGTCTTCCTGCGTCTTCCGAAGTGCCTCAACTCGAAGCTTGAGCTCAGCATGCTCCTCTGGATAGGCGAACATGAATGATAACTCTTCCAACTCCGACTGTTTCGAATTCCACACGGTTTTATTAAAAAAATATCATATCAGTACAAAAAAAACAGTAGAAACACACTTGAAGCAATTTGAACTTCCAAAGTAGCGAAAAGATCAACATATACTGTCAGGGTATTGCTTTCACGACAAATATGTACCTTAATACGATGCATTCCCAGCAACTTTGCAAGAGGTGCAAAAACTTGAAGCGTCTCCATAGCAATGTATTTCTGCAAACGAATTTCAGTGCCATGCAAGTTAGAGAAACTTTGTACAAGAAACAATGACTAAGACTCGATCAGCAACCCCACATGTAATATCTTCACTTCGTACTAACCTGTTTGTGCGGAGGCATGTGGGACAAAGTCCTCATATTATGAAGTCGATCTGCAAGTTTCACAATGATCACTCGTACCTGCAGGGTAGGATGTTTAGTTGCGCAAACTCCCACACAAAATAGCAGCATAAATGCATTCAGAAAAAGAAAGCTTCATACAAACACTTGCAATGAGCGTCACTGCCCCAGCAAAGGGGTATTAAGAAGTAGAGAGTGTACCTCCTCAGTCATGGCTAAGAACATTTGTCTCAAGTCATCAGCTTTCACATCCTTTCCTAATGAATCTGAATTCTGACATTGCATCTTTCCAAGCTTCGACACCTGTACGTCCAGCTTGAGCTGTGTTAGAAACTGCCAGAGTGACATGGTAAGTCATTCATTAACCTATTCTCTACTGTAGAGAAAAACTTGCCTTGGTTTCTCCTTCTACGATCCTCCGTACCGCAGGTCCAAACTGGTCCTCAATCCTCTCAAAAGTAACATGTTCTGTGTCCTCGACTGTGTCATGCAATAGACCCGCCACTATTGTTTCCCAATCCATCTCCTGCACATAACCGACCAGATTAGATTAGGTGACAACATGCAAGAACTGCAAGAAATAAATCTGTAGTGATTATATCATTTTCATTGCAAGATCCTACGGTTTTCCTCCTGAAATCAGACACGAATGACGAGACACATATAAGGGTAACATGATTTGCAGTACCTGCTCTCCCAGAATTCGGGCAACTTCAACAGGATGAATGATGAAAGGTTCCCCACTCTTCCGCTTTTGACCATCGTGAGCTTCGAATGCCAGCTGCAAGAACGAACAGAAATGAATTAGCAGACTGAAGACTGCAAATTCTTTTTTGAAAACCAGAAATCAATTGTTCCCACACTCCACAGGCTGTGTCTAAAACCAGTTGCTTAAGGATGAACTCATGAACAAGTCATACACCGAAAAAAAAATTAAAAAAACTCACAAAACTCAATGGCAGTATAGTTAAGCGAATTGACCTTCAAACCATCCTTCACCATTCTTAGTTGAGCTTTAGTGAGGTAGCTGATGGAAGGCTTGAGGCTCTGCACAGAAAATTATTTATAAGAAATTCTGCTAATAAAAAAATTCAAATATGGTCGCAATTTTACCAAAGAATTCATAAGTGCACAAATCTGCGAAACCATATCCAGCCTGCCGAGGGTTGCTCATGACAAGGCGTTCAGTCAAAGTAACAGCAGTCGCAACGCAAACCTACCTCCCACAATGTGATTGGAGTGATATTTTTGTCGGATAAGTACAACTCCTCGGCACCAGCACAACAAGTAACTCTAGGCCTTTCAGACCTCCCAGATTGTTTGTAATTCTTGTTTAAATGACCTCTTCCTCCTTTTCGCAAGCACTGAATCACTCCCACCTTCTGGATATGCTGGCACCAGGAAGGGATACACTTCTTTGAGGGTTCCACAGTTGTGAAATAGCCCAAATGATTACAAATGAGATTTAAAAATTACAGTTGTATGATTTTGTAACCAATAACTTTGAGTGTCACAATTCATGGGTTTGTGAATATCCAAAATAAAGTAAATCCGCATTCCGAAGAAAACAACTCAAATATAAGACTTAAATGCCCAGAGCTTCATCCTAGATCAGCTGTATGTAGCAATCGATCTGTATCTATAATATGCGAATCAGAGTGTCAACCAAATCGTACTTGAAAAATCGAGACAAGAATTTTGATTAATATCTTGTTCAAGGACAAATTTTCGTTTGCTCGTGTTTTGCGACTCACTTCTTGTCTTACAAAACATCTTAAGAGACTAGAAAACTATGATGTAGGAACCCTGTGAAGTCTATTTGCCACCAGCACAAAAAGTGCCTATATTCGATTTGAACTGATTTGAACTTACATGGCTGCAATGGATCAGAATCCTGCTCCTCAATCTGGACGACAATGCACAGTCCCCTTGAGAGGATTGTGGTGTACTCGCTAAAAAGCCACTGAGCGTCCTCGGCGATCTCCATGCGCAAGAGCTGGATGTGCACTCAGTTTTCAAAATGAGTGGCTGAATGAAGTTACGAACTCCAATTCCCTCCAGGTGCCCTGAAACCCAATTACGGTTGTTGTCAGCAATTTCACCCAATTACCCAAACCTTCCACAAGAACACTAACAGAAAAAAATAAAAATAAAAATAAAATCGAAGGCCCAAGGAAAGCGGAGGGAAAGCACGAAAACCTGGGAAACCAGCGGGCGTTGTCATATCGCCTCAAGCAGTAGTGCACACAAGCGAGCACAGGTGATGCGTCCACAAAGGACCATACCCACACTAAAAGTAGAATTCCTCCACCTCCGACTGATGCCCTACAATCCCAAATCTCCTGTAATCCTCCGTAATCCTCTTATGCGCGCCTCTCCCACACCCAACGCGCAAGAAAAAACACTGCCCTTCACCAATTCTCACCCAATCCTACCCTGACCCCCACCCGAGCTGTGAAACAGCGAAGTTCTAGTCCAAGATCATCACTCCCCACACGGAACTCCAGCAAACTACCACAGCGCCTCACACCTCCTCCGTCTGCTCCAATCCCCTTTCCTCCACCTGAATAGCCTCTCTCCTGTGAATCTTCCTTCTCGTTCCTCCTGCCACCACGCTCAATCCACAATCTCGCAGCTATTTGCCCGCATCGAATCCTGTGACTTTTCAAAGCGAGGTCAATTCGTCATTTCAGCCAAAGGATGAATTCGGTTGAGGTGGAGCGAGAGAAGGAATCGCAATGCTCTCCAGTCCGTCGACGATTGCTGCACTAGCGGCAGATTTTTGTGGTCCTTCCTCCTTCACAGAAAAAGTGATCCAAGCCACATGCGTTGTGGTTGTGAGGGGATGGCAGCACGATCCAACCGCGCGTCAAAAGCAGTTGCTGTCCATGCCCGCCCTACGACCTGGTGCGAACCGTGGTGTTGAACCGCGCGTCCCACTGCGCAGACAACCACGCTTGGTCTACCCTTGCCTTTAGGTTCTTTCATTCCACAACTTGGTTTCCGTTTCACAAAAGGTCTCATAAGTCTGCGGCACGTCCTCACTTCAAAAATTAAAAGATATTTCACTAATTTCGGAAAAAGAAAAACGAAATAATTTGTTTCAGAATTTGGATTACATGAACCCTATTAAGTTACACCCTTCACCATTCCAATCAAATAGCATTTATCCACTCATCAACAGACTCTTGAAGGATGCCACTTCGCTCATAATGGATGAGACTCAGGTGAAAGTTACTTCAAAACTCTGGCATCCGACGATGATTCATCAAGTTAAAATTGAAATTACGATTTCCTCTTGCTCATCATTTGAACCAGAGTAAACCTACTCCCATGAGGTGGCGCAATCCTAACTGGATCAGAAGGTGACCTTATCATCTGCTAACAGTGACGAATTGATTGCTGTGTCTCAATTGCAACACACTCAATTGCGGGAAAACTTATGATCGCATCGATCTTCTGCTTCTACCGTAACCTAAGCGCCCACTCGAAGGAAATTGAGTCCAACAAAGAACATCAAGTATTTTCTGGGATATGTAGCCTGCGTCAAACAAAACCAAATTGTCCTACAGCACTCGAGCTTTCTCACCCTTCTAAACCCTAAACTTGTACTTTACCAATCTGCGCTTCTTCCAAACAGGTAGAAGGATTACCCGAAGTACCCTCAGACCCCAACTTACGTGCCAGTTTCAACTTCATCAACACTACAGCGTTGCCAGAAAAGATGAAACTAGCAGTACTGGGTTTTTGGTGATTCAAGACTAATAGGGCGTATCTTTCATAATTTTCGCAGATCGATTCAAAATTGCAGATGAAGGTAACATATCTAACTATATTGTCAACACTATATACTGAGCCATCAGTTTTGTAGACTGACATGAAGCTTACGTCAATATCTGTTGAGTAACCAACATGGAGCTCTAACCTTTTGACGATGACATTGAATTGCATTGTTGAAAGATTTCGATGTAAAGCTTTGGTGGCAATCAATCTGTAGGTACATTTCGAAGTTGGCTTAACTGTACACTCCCATGTACCAGTTTGATGTTAACGAAGATCCGTGAAGACCAAACACTTTCGTATCCTACTTGAGAAGTCCACACGTAGCTCGAAATCCAATTGAGTGCAGCAACAAAGAATAAGCAGTGCCATTATATATTTCTAACAAGCCACTTCAAACAAGCCACAGACCCCAAATTGTATGATAAATTTAAGACTAGTCATAAGCTGTTAAGATTAAGCCGGGAAATGACACCACTAGAATTTGAATGAGCAGGAGATGGAATTACATGCTTTTTGCCCGCTGATTCGAGAGGATAGAAGTAACGGGGTTTCTTCTTAAGCCCAGTTAAAGCACATTCTCTCACCTTTCTGTTTCTCCCTCTAGTATATTTAAAGGAAATTCATGTCGTAATAGCTGATAACCTCTCCTATTGGCAAGGAAAGAAGTGTAGAAATCAAGCATCATTCCGCACGCATATCTCACTACACTAATATGTTGTTTTGTATGCTATGGATCTGTTTACAATCCTATCAGAGTGTGATCTACAGCGCCTAAAATGACTAAAGTTGGAGTCCATCATTCAAGGTCAATTGACGCTTAGCCAACGCAACAAGGTACGACTTCTAGATGACGCTTCTGACAATATACTAATGACCTTATACTATATGAGCAAAATATGAAATAACTTCTGGAAGAATTAATCATCCAAGTGTATCACACTTATTCTTGAGAATCTTCCAGAATCGCAGCCTTCACCACTTCCGGATACGCACTGCTATTTATGTTAGATCAAACTAGGGAATCACATCCGGATACCCTGGAGACAGTTGGAACATCCAGATAACCTGCAGAAAGAATGTTGGCGGAGCATACGCATCTCCCTGTTCTACATCAAGATCGATTCTAACTGTGAAGCTGTTGTCACTCATCTTTTTGTAACTATCACAGAAGATAATAGACCCTTGAATCCTTTCTGCACTTCATTTGTGCAAATTGACTACTAAAGCACCCAGGTATGGAGAGAATACTGTGACGAAGCAAGACTCTTGATTGAAACTCCCCTGATAAAAGACAATAACAGTGAGACGACCACAGGAACAGAAGCCAAGGATTGAATCGACCCCCAGAGTCCAAGCGCATTGACTGAATGAACCAAAAACATCGCACGAACAAATGAACGATCAACGGTGAACGTAGAAAGACAGAATGATCAAAAGGCCACCTCCGAAACTAAATTCAAGGAAGACGAAATTCGAAATATAAACTACACGTCCTAAAATTTAGAACACCCTTAACCCGATCACGCGAAATTGGACAGCTCTGCCTTACAGCTACGTGATGAATCGTAATTTCTAAATACTCTTAAGTCCAAATCAGTAAGCTCATGTCATCCCTCACCACACCGCGATCCATTTCATACAATAGCCGATGCAAATCTCGCCTCTCCCGAAGCAATGAAACAGGAATGCAGGTTTAAAAAAGTTGGGGAGTGTGATTGGAGCGGTGGAAACTGGGTCCAGCGATGCTGCTGCAGAACGGAGCGTCTGAGATTTTCAAATTCAAAGGAATCGTCGCGCTCACTTGAGTCGCGCTCTCGCTTGAGTCGAGGAAGCGCCACCCCTATTCCGGGCACGTCCTATTACCGCGAAAATCCACTTGGAAAAGGACGCTGCTGATTCCTCAGGAGAGCGGGGCTGGCACATGGAGTGGTCGTGTCACTACAATCCAGCAACGAAAAGTTTGCCGGATCGATGTGGAAGCTGCACGATTGTCAAACACATATTCGGTTGCAGATTTCAATGTGTTGCACTGCCTTTTGGGTGGCTCACAAGAACCAGTGAGGATTTTGTGCAGATTATGGCACATTCATTTACTTGAAGTGGGAGGAGAATCAGAAATTTAAGGTTTTCCTGAACGCTGTGGGATTCTGAAGACTGGAGTTCAAATTTGGAACCTAGGAGGATATTCAAGATTGTGAAGGTGAGGTGCTGAAGGATTTGTGGTGATTGTGGTGGTGGTTTAGGAGTGGCAATGGCTGTGCCTTGGCAGGCATCGTCCCTGGCGTTGATGCGGGACATACCCACAGCCCTTGTGGTAGGATTTCGTGGAGCTCGAGACAATGGGGCGAAGGTGGATAGCCGCTGTCTAGAAAGAGATAGTTTCGTGATGCGAAGTGGGTCGCAGAGACAGGAATCAACGTTGCGGGAGGGGTCTGCGGAAGAGAACATGACCCATAGTTTAGAAAATTGGAGAGTAGAGATGGTCGATGGGATGAAATGGGCTTTCAATTTTGCACTTACGAGTATTTGCTGTTACGGAGTTGCTGCGGCTGTGTCAACTCCCGACATAGAGACATGGCGAATTCGAGGTTCTCCATTCTTTGATGTCCCTGACGTGCTGAATGTGGGCACCCCCTCTGCTCATGCTTCAGGATTGCTGCAGATGCCTCCTGTTCGGCTGGTTAATCGGTAAGCTCTGAATCTTTTACAAGAGGATCTAGTTGGGATTATGAAATCAGGGTTTAGTGTACGTGCATGAAATCTGAGGTTAATGCTGATCCCTCATTTTAAGAACCTCTTAATTTTCTAAAGCTTTGCTGCCTAACTGTAAGCCTGAATGCTGGTATTTTGTTGACTTGGATCTCCTGAATAGTTATTACTTGGTAAGATCGGGAGAGTCCGAGTTCGAGACGAAGGGAGTGATAAACACCAATCCTGTGACAAAAACATCAATGGATAGTGGTCTTTCAGAGGAGGGCAAGAAACAGACAATTCAAGCTGCGAAGAGCTTAAGAGCGCTGGGTGCTTGTGATGACAGCTGCTGGATATGGCCGTCTATCACCCAAAGAGCCTATCAAACAGCTGAGATTATCGCCTATGTCAACAATATTAATCGCAGGTGACAATTCTGTTGCCACCCATTTCTGAGTTCATTATGATTTCATCTTTGGAGGTATCAGGTTGGCAATCTGTTTGTCTCATGATTGGAAATTCTGACCAGGAAGCTAATCGGTTCTTAATTAACAACTCAAACTACACATAAAAGGAAATGTGTTACGAGAGAGGTGTAACATCTTGCATCTATATCATATGTAAATGTTACATATAGTTCAGTCCTTGACAAGGTAGAGCGATATTTTTTAAAAAATGGGTATGACATCTGGGGTGGGGGGTTTTGCAGTCGGATAGTGCCAGAATATAGCTTCTTGGATGCTCGTGGGCTAGGAGCGTATGAAGGTAAAGGACTTGCAGAGGTGAACGAGGTGAGTAGTTTGAAACTTCAAATTTTGATTTTAAGCATATTGAGTCTGATTATTTGAGCCTCTACGGAATCTCTAATCCACAGAAAACTGTCATGTATTATGTTGTTATTTTTTACAGCTCAAAATCAGTTCAAGCGTTAGCTTCACGGGTTGGTGCTTAAATCCTTTAATTTGTCATGAAGTTCTGATTGTTAAGGTACATTTTGCAGGTGTATGATACTATAGATGCAATATCTGCGAATTTACGGCCCCCTCCCTTTACTGATGGCACAGTGAACGAGAGTGTAAGAGACGTATTTGTTAGAGTCACACAACTAATGTCAATCTTGGAGACCCAGTATTTTAATGAGACTATCGTAATAGTGGCGCCAGACTCCGACAATCTGTCAGTTCTCGAGGCTGGACTGACTGGGCTTGATTTACGCAGGTATTACCTCAAATCCTTGTCGCTCTTCGTGACGATCGCTCACAAGAAAAAGAAAATCCACTACCTTCTTTACGTCATCCTTCTCTAGTGTCAAGTACAACCTTGGACTTTAGCTGTTGGAACTATCAATTCTAAATCACGAATGATACGATTGAAATATGTGAACTGTGCTTGCTGGTTCGCAGACACAGACAATTGGCGTATACTCCAGGAGAAGTGCGATATGTAGATGCAAATAGGCTACCTGCTCCACGACAAGCTGTTTCAGGCTATGTCAAGTGCACTGCAAAACCTCCCAACTGCTGATGTTTTTGAGATAAAGAACTATGTGTAAGTTTAGACCTCATGGGTCTACTTGCTTAAGTAGAAGAAAATCATTAATTTTCCGTCTACAGTGTTGTGCTGGATGGCGGGCGGTTCAGTACCGTAAGAGTTTTTTAATTGCCTCGCATTTCAATTTTCTAGTCAAAGCATACGTTCTCTTTATATTTGGTTTCAACAACAATAGAAGGTATGATATGAACTTGTGTAGGGATCTCGATGTGCTGCTCCTGATGGGTGTAAATTTCGTCTACATTAAGATTTGCATTCTCTTTAACAACTGCTGTCTGCGATTTCATCTTAAACCTTGATCACACACAGGTGGTAATTGTTGGTGTTTTTCAAAGATGGAAGATTGCTTTGTGGTTCACAATTGTGTCAGGGTCTTCGGTACATTGGTATGTGGAAAATTCAGAATTCTCTTTCCTCTACTGGTTTGGATTACACTAGTTCTGATTAAATCACTGTTTTAACTAAAAGTTTCTTGGGCTTGACCCACTCCTATAGTTTAGAAAGTTAGAATGAGGCAATCACCCTATTTTGTTTTGCAAACTCAATATTCAATCAATCCATTTCTATCTTTCATTCCACCACACTGAAGACATTGTAAGCAAAATACATTTGGTTTCTTGGGAGAGATTTACTAAAATGAGTGGAATTCACACCAAGATTTTGCATAAATTTTAGAATTTTAGAATTTTAATATTTGGTTGTTTTCTTTCTTTAAATTAGAAAAAGTAAAACTTCCCCAAATTCAGGCTTTTTAGAAAATTCAATCAAGACTTGTAGAACCAAATTAGAACCGTAATTTTGTTTTGCTGTGAGTACATATTGTCCTATTTCACTTTCAATTCTACATAAATATTTAGAAATTCTTCTTAGTTATTCAACAATGTTGCAAGAGGGATGTAAGAACATCAAAAATAAATAAAATAAATAAATAAATAAAAACCTGTACTTTTTTTATTAGCTTCAATAAATGAACTAAGGCTTTTCTAAGATTTCTTTCTGTTTTTCTTTTCTACTATATTTTTAAATTACAATCTTTTGAAACTCATTCTTTGATTTTTTGTGATCATATACCTCTCAATATGGCCATACTTCAGGAAAGTTGATACTTCATATTCATCTAACATAAACAAATATTATAAACTTTGTTTGTCTCATTCCAATAAATTTGTAGATTATTTTGTCTCTTCAGATAGACACCACTGTCAAAAAAGAGTCTACCAACCTTATTCCATTTAATTATTCTTACCTTAATAAATTATATCATTATATTTTCATAATATATGTAGTTAAGTTTTTATTTTTATTTTTTATGCATATTTATTTCGACTTACTCTTTTAAATTAATCAAATAATCTTATTTTATAAGATCTTTATCATATTACATACATAATTATTATATGAGCAAAAAATTTCTATTTTTCATAAAGCAATTTCTTCTCATTAATATATGTATGTATGTATGTATGTATGTATGTATGTATGTATGTATGTATAAATATAAATGTATATATATATTCTTTGATATATATATATTTTTAAGTATTTAAGTTCTTTTCATAGAAAGCATACCACCAAATTTTTTAAATAAGATTTTATATAAATATAAACATATACATACTCACACATATGTGTGTGTATATATATATAAATGATGTTTTTAGCATTACAAATTGTGTCTTTAGAAGGGCAGAATAAAATAAAATAAGTATATACACCAAATTTAGAATTAAAAATATAAAAAATAAATAGAAAATTTAATTTTAAAAAAATAAATGATTTAATTAAAGACTTGTGTGAAATGAAAGAGAATATTATGTTTATGTTTTTCTACAAAGTTACATAAGGCTTATATTTGTTCTATTGTTGATACTACAATTATGCTAAATATGTAAAATATATGTTAACTTTATAATAATACAAGTATTACAAGTTTTATGCAATATATTACAAAACATTATAAATGAAAAAATCCAAAAATTGTAAGATATTATTAACTAACTTTGCTATTACTACCACAATCACCCATCTAATTCATACCACTATAATTTTTAAAAATAAATAAATAGATAAATAACAACAACAATAACAATAACATTACTAATCTCTTCTTAGTCAAATAAAAATAATCATTCTATGAAGATTTAAATACTGTACTTAAAAATAGTTGCTTATAAAATAAACATGTAAAGATTGCCTCACATGGAATGTAAAGAAAAGTTTTAACAAACTAAAGAGATTTTGATATTTACATACCTATCTTGTATAGCCAAGGTACAAATGTCTTACAAAGGTTCCTTCATAAAAGAATAAAAATAATTTGTCTTTTAGAAGCATTAGTATAAGCAATAAGTATAAATTAGAAACAAACTATAATATAATTCAATTTATTATAATTATTATTCTTTCAAGTTTATTAAACTCCTAAATATGATAAAACTATTATGATATTTGTTAATTTATTTTTGTAAGATTTATAATAAATAATATAATAATTTTTGATATAGATTCTTAATTTTTTTGTACAAATTAATACATGAGATGAAAATATTACTACTATTAGCAATAACATGAACTTTTGGTGATCAGCATTTAAAAAATAATTCAAAAATTTATGAATTTATAAAAGTATGTGATCTCTTAACATTTAAGATGGTAGAGTTTCAAGAAAAACTTTCACAAACATAAAAAAATTCAATTATTTTGTAGTAGGAATATATAATATAAGTTAATAAAGAAAACAACATAAATTGTGAGTACTAGAAATAAACCTATCAATCACAAATTTGAAGAAATAAAAATATTCATGTCTATCACAAGCTTTGAAGGATGTGCATCTCATTTTTTTTCTTCTAAAGATTAAGACCATATGTTGCAATAAATGATCATATTCTATTATACCATTGTACATGTTTAATACTATCTTATGCACATGATAGGTAGAATTCAATTCTAATTACCTTGTAGCAACAACAAAAAAAATAAAAATTGATTCATAATCTCTTGTGGTTTAATTGTCTAAAACACATCATTTGAATATTCAAGAGAATGTTCTTACTTTGAAATTCAAGCCTACTATCAAGGCACTAGCTACTATGCAGATTAAGACCACTAATTGATAGGATTGATTGAGAGGTAGTGAAGGTGTTTGTTACAATTCACAATTAAATTTGTGGGTCTTCAAAGTATCTTTGTTTGTCTCATTAAGGATTAGAAGAAGCAGGCAATCTCAAACCATCAGGTAAAAGAACTGCTCTATAATAGAAATAAGCTCACTTGAGATCCAATTACAATTCTAGCTTTAATGTCTATGAAGTCTCTCAAAGACTTTAGTTGAATGAAGAGTGTAGTAAGTGGCATTTTTTTTTTTTTTTTGAAATAAGTAAAAAAAAATAAAAATAAAAATAAAACTCATTATTGTATAAGAACATAAATACAATCAACTTAACTGCAAGCAGATTGGGCAAAACTAGTGATAAGATATACTAAACAACTAAGACCTAGACTAAATTAACTCATGACAGCTGAAGGCCGTCTTTGAGTTCCTATTGTTAGTCAAGAGGTAGTGCCAAGCTGGATACTTTGTTTACAAGGGCTAAAAAGCAAATCCTGCAAATGGTTCCAAAAGCAATCACTTTGGCTTTCCATTTACCATTGCTACAAAGAGCCCTTTACAGCACTAGCACTTCTCAAAATATTGCATTAAACTTATTCCAATTTTGGCCTTGAACTTCCAAATGTTATATATACCAAACCATTCAATCCATCCATAGTCTATGATCACTAACCAAATACAACAGAATAGCTCCTTTGGGTGCCACTTAACATTGTTGAAAACAACATTATTCTATATATTTCATAACATCCATAGGATTATTACTCTAATTTGAGTCGACATGAGACTAAACTTCTTAAACTTATGCAAAATACTTTTGAAGAATAGACCTTAGTACCAATGGAGAGGTTGTCAAAGGCCACATGCACTAGAACCATAGACCAATAACTTCATAATATGTGTATTTTACTACCAAGCTTATTGATTAGAAATATATTTTCAAAATTGGTGAAGAATTGATTTGTTAAATCTCCAAAAGCAAACAAGACAATTAAGGGGTTTCAAACATAGCACTTTTGTAAAATCAAATAATTGAGATTCAACAATAATTGAGATATCACTTGATATCTCTAAGATCACTAGAAATATCAAATCCAAATTATCACCATTCAAACTATAATATCCCTTTGATATTTTGGTGATGTATTAAGTGATATCAAATCGACCAGTTAAGTAGTGTGGTATGGAATCAAAGAGGAAAGAGAGTTGAGATGAGCAACACTATTTTTGATATTTGACCCACCTCTTGATATTTCAATTTCAAAATCATCCACATTATGAGGTGGATGATTTGGTGAAGTATCAAGTAATATTTCAAAATAGCACATGATACTTCAAGCAAACTTCCTCCGCCGTGCAAGGCTGCACATATTGTAGCTCCTTCACCAACGATTTCCAGTCTGTGCCAGTTCGGGACCAACTGCAGCGGGTGTTTCAGGCCTCGCCCAGTGTATCCCAATACTAGGCTGCTGGAGATTCGCTTACAGATGAGGCCGATTCGTAAACCGAGAGAATACACCCATCCCTTCAGTGACTGTCGAGATTGTCAAAAAGGAAGTCAAGTCCACACCTAAAAGATGGTTTCAGCATGGCATGCTGGGATAGGTGTCAGACAATGATCTGTACTAATCAATGGAGGGTCATCAAAGCGAGAAAAAACGATCGGTCACTCTATCTTTTGCAGGTAACATGACTTCTGTGACTTGATCATCAAAATGATGTGATCGAAACAAAGTGGGTGTCAGCAATCAAACGTATTTTTCCATCTTCTACGATCAACAGAAGCGTTACAGATGGTTGTATAGCATTCAAACAGTTGTGGAAACAAGTTCTCTACTCATGCTGAACATAGCAATGCAGGTATCCACAAAAGCCAATTCTATCGTGCGTTACAGAGATCTTTTTCTCACTCCAGGACCAGTATCATCGTTTCGCAAGCAAGCTTTCATGCGAAGATTTAATGCCTTGAAAAAGTTGGGCCACAATTGCGTAGCATTGCAACAATGTGCAGACATGAATGTCAACCACCTGAGTTTACACCTTACAGCGTGCTCAAAACTCGGATCACGCATTACAGGACGCCGTTGTTAGACGTCAACACCATCATAGTACTAGTAAATATACTACACCTCTACAACCATTGGAATCCACTGACCTGCTTATTTGTGCGACTGGACAACTATCCAAATTACAGAGCACGCTTGAACAACCGTCTGAACCCACATATGTACAACAGTAAATTGATTTCTCACCAGTTCTCTTTCATGACTTTGGCTTTCTCAAGGATATACTTCCCTTCCTTGTACTTCTGAGACTCTTCAAACGCTTTTTCATATTTCCATCCCAGAACTTCTTGGCATTGAAAGCAACAGATGTCAGCCACTGTATGCAGGCCTGTCAATAGTTCCCGATCTTCTTTTGCCCCAAGAGTCACATTCACGACATTCGTGAATAAGTAAGCCCTCCCGTTTCTTCCCTGAATACAAATGTTCCCGTTCGTAAGTTTTGCTTACAGCGATCTCCTCGTATGGAGCTAAATTCAAGTTATGACGTATCAACTGGCAAACATATGCAAGTACATATATGCCTAGTCCGTGCTTTCACTTAGTGTGCGGGTATTTTACAACCCCTAAGTCAGTCTTCATATTAGGTGGAGGAGACTCTTCTTGCAACTCAAACAGATATTGACAACACAATTCGTGTCCCCTTTGCACTGTAGATTCCAATCCAACTGCTAGGGAAAAGTTTACTTTCATGGATTGGGAGTACTGGCTATAATTTAGATGACCAACCTGCGGAAGAGGGATGTCGAAATTTCCAAATTACATGAGAGCGAAAGTTGCCATAAAACGTCATTATGAAGTTGACTTAAAATTGTTGTAGATAAGATTTATTCCAAAGAGCGAAGGGGTCATCTTTCTTCTTTCTTCTATGATGCATGGCGTGGAGGAGCATACAATAGCATACAACTGTAACCTTCTCTTTATGAGGCTTTCATTTACATTAGCGAGAACTTTTGGGACATCCTGTCACACGAGCGCCTGTTGGATTCATGATGATAAAGTTTGGTTTCAGAGCGCAATGCTGACGCTCAATTAAACAATTAAAGACGAAGTAGCCAAATCTGGACTTAAATGAAGTAATTGCAAAACAACCAGCAACTGCAGACAGTATCAATTGACCCTAATGACTTCCGAGACAAACACTATTACCTGATCCCCAAAACCGGCGACGAGATTTTCTAAAAACCAACCCAAAATCTGAGAACCAACATCCGACACGATTCGTACGCCAATCCGAAGAGGCATCAAATACAGAACCACAGAAATCCAGGATAACTTCACACACCGACTGTCAAGCACAACAATTGCCCTAACCCAGGCAACAAAGACCAACACTCCCCTCCCATGTTCACAAACCGAGAAAATCATCTACAGCACAGGAAAAGCAAGAGCCCATTGAAATCGCGATCATTATGGTCCCCCTCCTAAAATTGCCCACCTGAAAGCACTTGGAGATAATCTCGTCGTGATCCGCCACATGGCATCGGCAATTACAGCAGCTGTAAATGCGTGGACCAGGAATCGCTGATGCTGCTATGAAATCGGTCTCTCCATCTCCCTCCCCCATTCCCCTCGCTTAGTCTCTGTTCCTGTCCTCTTTCCTCCTCGTCTACTCACCTCCCACAATACTTCTCCAGCAACAATCACTCTCTCTCTCGTCCACCTCAACAGCCAAACAACATAACCCACAAAGGCTTGCTTCTTCCTACGAAATTCAACCCACTCCACGCTTCTTCTACGCCTTCGTCTTCGTCTTCAAAGTCCACCTCCTCGCCTTCCTCACCTTGTCCGTAAGCTCTCCTTCTTTTCCTTCTTCTTCTTCAAAACAAGGCTGGCACGACGACACACTATCATCCTTCCACGTCACTTACAGCGGCAGCAGGGAGCCAGAAGATGGGAGCAGGCAGAGGGAGAGAAGAGCAGCAGCAGCATGCAGGAGAAGAAGGGAAGAAGGAATAGTGAAGTCAACAGGACGCTTGTCTGTCTGTCTGTCTGTCTGAGTGGTGTCGCATTCCCACGGGAATAAAGAAAGGGAGGAAGGAAGGAAGGAATCACAAGGTGGGGTGGGGGGTGGGAAGAAATATGGAAAGATTCCCCCACATTCCTTCCTTCCAGTTGGGGTTCATTCATTTCTTCACTCTGCCGCTGCCTCCCCTGCTGGACCCACAACCGCCATCCCCTTTCCTCACGCAGCATAGCGAGCCCAGCTCTTACGTTGCGCTTGCGCGGGGGGGGGGGGGTTGGGTGGATGGATGGGTTAACGGATGAGCCGAATGACGGACGGATGAATGTGTGGGTTTTATCTCATGGAACGACTCCTCACTTGCTTTCGTTTTTTGTAGACTTTGCGAATTAACGTTAATGTGCAACATATTCTAATTTATAATAATGTCGTTTTCATTCATAATTTGAGAAATTTTCATTCGTGTTTTTATTATTATTTACTCAATACATGAGGTGGTGATGATTTCGTCTTTTTTTAATATGTTAGTTTTTTTACGATTTAATATTATACAAATATGTAAAAAAGATTTTTTTGAATACATAAAATTATATTCATTCTTATAGATAAAAATAATACATATATATATATATATATATATATGTGTGTGTGTGTGTGTGTGTGAGAGAGAGAGAGAAGTACAATTTTTTTTTAAAACAGGGATTTCTACAACCACACTTTAATGCGCAAAAATTTCAACACTAAACTTATATACAATATTCTTATTTTTTAATGGTTTTCATTTTATTTTTTTATTGAAAAATTATTACTAGACTATTTAGCAACCTTTGAAATATTTTATAAATCCATCTCAAAGTTATAATATAAAAAACATAAAAAATTGTTTCTAAAATTTAAGAATGTATTATACTTTTACAACATTACATTAAAAAAAAATTAATAAATTAATAAATAAAATATATTTTAATATTTTATATTTAATAAATTTTGGTTCATAAAAATTTAATATTATTATATTTGAAATATCAATAATATTAATGACATATTAATAAGTATTATGTACAAATAATATTGAATAAAATTATTTATTATAATATTTGTCATAAAATACTCTTTAACAAAAAAATAAAAATAAAATAAATGAAAATTTTATTATTAAAAAAATCCAATGATTTATCATTAAGTTATTGGAAATTATAGAATAGTAAATTGCAAATTTAAATTAATTTTTTCCTGTATACTTTAAAGCAACACTAAACATATAATAAGGGGGTTTTAATTTGGCAATTTTGCAAAATCTAATAACTAGAATTCAGCACCTAATATCTCCTAGATTACTCAAATTACCAAATCCAAAATATCACAATTCAAACTTCATTACCCCTTCGTATGGAGAGTCAAAGAAGGAGAGAGTTAAGACAAGCAATACAGTTTTTGATATTTCACTTGCCCTTCTTTTGATATTTCAATTTCAAAATCACCCACCTTACAAGGTGGGTGATTTGGTGAAGTATCAAGTTATTTCAAAATATCACAAGATACTTTGAGATCTCATCACAAGTGAAATATCATCCAAAAAGACATGGTTGAACACCCCTAATAAAAGTCTTCCAACTTATAATATTCTTTTTGTGTTTACACAACAATTTTTTATTTAATAATTTTGTTTGGAAAAGTTTTTTAAGTGCAGCAATAGAATGTAGTTGTAAAATACCATATTTTAGTTCTAAGGGAGATGTTAAACAGAATTAATAAGATCAATGTGATTTGATTTGGGGTTGAAGTAGGCAAAAAATTCTAATAAATTTGAAGATGTGAGAATATTTTATTTCTCTTAAAGAAGGCCTTCTATAACTCTTGTTTTGTACAGTGAATTTTGTAATTTAAGATTATAATAGATGTACTAATTGTGACTTTTGTGTTAATTGTATAATAAAACAATTCAATTTAAGAAATATATAAATCTGTATTAATAGATTTTTTTTCTTTTCATAAATCTATTTTTTGTATACAAAGTTCAAAATTTATATGTTACTTAATGAGAAATTAGAATATAGTAAGTAAAAGAATCTATGAAAACAAAAACCATGATTAAAAAACTTTAATCATGGTTTTTGATAAAACAACTTTCAAATACATGCTTTAATATTTTGAAATAACTGAATAAATAATGTTTAAGAAGTGTATGTTTTATTTGTTAGATTGGTTATAGTAGTTAAAATGTCTGCATGAAAAAAATTAATATTGCACAATTTTTTCCTTGCAAGTTGTAAGAGGATTCATGCAGACTCTATAAACAAAACATGTTGTGTTCGGAGTTGGGATGGACCCACTTAACCTTTCAGTGCAGAAGCACAAAGAAAAACCAATCAAAGCAACGAACATACAGTATATTCATTGATGAAGGAAGAGTCCAACGATCGAATGGCGCAAGGCCTTGCCGTTATTACACACAGGGAAGGTAGGATCAAACCGACCCAAAGTGGATGAGGTTGCTGCGACAAACTGATCTTGACAGCACGCAAAACGAATTCCACATTATGATCTTGGTGGTTGCAACTGGTGCATACATGCACACCAAATGTAAAGGCCCTCTATTACCAATGTTGAAAAATAAATAAAAAATAAATAAAAGTTTCAGGAGTTGGATACTCTCACACTGACCATCAATCGCTTCAACGTCCTACCCTCTACTTGGCATATGAATCCTAAACGATACTGGATCGACTTTGACCCTAATGATACGTTCTAAAATAGTACAGGGTCTAAATGATAATGGATGCGATAATTACCGAAACAGAATACTATCCTAGAAAACTGAATATGGCGCTGGCTCTTGAATTAAGAACCACAGCATTCTGCCACCACTTTAATAATATGTGAACCGAACGCCAACCTATCATCTTTGTGTGGAATGATAAGAAAATAATAAATGAATTGGGCAGCCAGCTATTATCTAAATGTGTTCTTTACAGGTGCAAACTGGAGCCACCTCATTATAATGTCTATAAGTACAGTGAAATAATCGAGGTCAACTTATTGCAAGTCCTCAGTTGGCCACAACTTCTTCCAAATTTCAATCTCTTCCTTGGTCTTCAACTTCCTGATGCCACCATAGAATCCCTCTGCCTCACTCCCCTCCTCCTCATGAGATTTGCGGTTGATGGGAGCACGTCTCCATCGTGAACCGACTGCGTACTGATTGAACTCCAACCACAAAGTCTCTGGAATACGAACATACAAGTGTCAAAACAAGCAATGCAGTGGTACACGATGAATGAGGAAATGATACTTATCAACAAAGGGCGAGACAAACTCAGCAACTCTTAGAGGATCCCCTAAACCAACCCCGACAAGGAATTTGAAGAAGAGAAATCCAGGAATCTTATTCAGAACAAAGTGTTAATATGCTTACGCATAATCATTCTGAAACTCCTTACAACAACAGACAAAGAACCAGCATGTCAATCACATTCTGCCTGGGAATTGCAGTCAACTAAACCGACATACCAAGCGAATAGCAACGGCAATGTCGAGAGCTCCCTTCGCAACCCTCAGAATGTCCCACTACACCGTACCACCACCCTGCAGTGACAGGCATAAACATAATTAGAACAGTCGTCCACCGAGAAGGGAGGTTTGGAGCAAGGAAAGTGAGGATACGAATAGATTTATTGAGCATTTGTTGTACATCACGAGAAAGAACTTCAACAACAAATGGGTGGCGAATAGAGAGGCTTGAACTTACCGTAAGGGAAATCTTTGTTCCTACGCCATTGCACCTCAACGCAATCGCCTGGTTTCAAATCAGCCAGACAGTCTGACTGATGCAGATCATGTGCAGGGGTTTCCACAGGTGGGGCACGAAGGCGCTCCCATTGAACCCCTTCTTCAACTACTGCTGTCCGCTGTCCATGAGGTGGGTACCTGCGATAGAAGAATCATACGTTAGAAATTTCGCATGTCGACAAAATGTGGGGAGTAGACGATCTCACTTTGCAAGAAAAGAGTCCAAAATGCAGACAGTACCTTGCTTTGAATGTGTCCGTTCGACGATCGTAGTTCAGTTCCGCATCATAACATGACAGCATGAAGCCTACATGTCCATTCTGAAACAGTAGAAGAAGTCGTCTTAATGAGAAAACCACCGTCACAGGATGCAATGCTGTAAAGAGTAACCAAGCATAGGCTCACTGGAAACGGCATTTTAGCGCAATAATCGTAACCAGGAATCAAAACTATCAGGTCGGGAAATGCATCCAGGCTTGCATTTCGAGGGCGAGAAAGATCAAACAAAGAACGGTGACAGTGATATCAAACAAAGAACGCACCTCTCGGTTGTAGACTTGGGCGGGAAACCAGAAGCTGCCACTCTCCAAAGCCCAGTACCAGGCCATAAGGGAATCCGGAGGTGGAATGGCAGAAGGCTGACCCTGCAGGTTGAGCCATTTAAAGGGCCAGAGGCATGAGAGAGGCCATCCCCAAACCCGAGGAGGGCATTCGGCGGCAGGGGGACCTTGCTCTGCTTGCAAGATCAACTGACGCTGCCACTCCTGGAAAGCCGAGGATCCCACGACGCGTGCCCATTTTCTTTCGAAGAGAGATTGCCAGAGGTGGTCGCTTCGGCAGCGTTTCCGCAGATGGTGGCACACGGCAGCCATCTGACAGAGAGAAGCAGGAGGAAGCCGTCCGAGGATTTCCTCCAGTGCTAACTCGGGCAGATCCAGCACCGACATACATTTGAGCTCCTCGCTCTTGGAGCACCTCCGCTTCTCAAACATTGTTCCCAGCCCCCACTGAGGAATGCTGTTACCGTCGTGTTCGAAATAAAGGCACTCGGGCTGCCTCATATCGCCACTATCCAAAGACGAGGAGCTCAGCGCAAGCCAAGCAGCCAAGATACTCATGTTGACTTTCAGAAGGAGGTCGATCAGCCCAAATTATTGGGTTGCTTAGTTTCCTGTCAGCAGTAGCTAACCAGCATTGCCCGTCCACGCCCGAGATAACTACAATGCAAACAACAGGTTTTAGCAAGTAGGTGATATGTAAATAAAGCAGAGCCGATCCCTCCATTTCAAAATACCCAGGTGTGACAACCAAGTACATGCCAATGAGTCGACAAGCCACCATTCTCAAAAAACAAAAAAAAACTGAAAAAAAACAAAACAAAACAAAACAAAAGTAAAAAAGCCAAACAAGACTTGTACTCTTCCAAACAATCACAAACCTTCCTAAGTCTGCAGCTCATCACCATTACTTTCAACACTCTCTGATGTCGGCTGCCACTACTCTTCTCTGGCACTCTAACTGTGGACGTCAAAGATCGTGCACGCTTCACCTCGTCGTTGATGGACAAACTTTTCCTATTGTAGAAACAACAACACAGAGCAAAACAAATTCCGACATAAATTGCGACTGTACGCCATTCACGTGACATATCGGCTACCGCAGCAAGCCTTCCACGACCAGAGTGCAACCCACACAAGACAGATCCCACTCCACACACACGAGAAAAATCACGCCACTCGCAGGAAGTGGAGATATAAATCGTAATCGACCATAATTGCGCCCTCGGACGTCTAAGAAAAGCACAACGTCACAAAAGTCCATATCCAGAGACCTCCAACAACAATTGCTCCACACACACTATCTCGCAGACAACACCCCATTCCCCCGCTCCAACAACAAGATCGGCCAAGTATCTTCACCTCAGACTACATCACCACAACCATCGTCCTCCTCCTCCACACCCGACCCACAATGCAAGACGCCACTGCACTCGCACCAACAGAGGACGCCCCTACTGCAGCGACAAAGGAATTGTAGGAAAACAGGAGGCAGGAGAATGCACACCCAGGCTGCCCTCTTCAACCCACAAAATTCCCCCTCTTACTGCATATTCTGCTTCCAGGGTGAGTAAAAGAACCCCGGATGCGTGATGGAAATGCGATGCGTGAGCAGCCGGCAGGTCCGGGCCCAATTGCGCAATGATGGATGGTGGGGGACTGTCTGCAACTTGACTCTCGGTAGGGCCGGCGCTGCACGCAGTCAGGCTTGATCTCGCCAATCACTCCACTCTGCAGCACATTTTCATAATTGACGAAATTTCCATGAGATCTCAAGCTGTCCAGGATTCTGCATGATTCCGCGTGGGAAGCTGAATTACGGGGGGGAGGGGAAGGGCGGGACAAGACGGAACAGGGGAGGAGGAGAGGAGCTTCCCCCTCGCCTCCCTCACGTGCTTCGCGTCTACGCCGCCGATTGCTGCACCTCCACCTTTTCCAACCACTGATGTATGTTCATCTACCCTCGGTAAAAAAAATCAAAAACAACACTACCAACCCAACCGCTGGTGACCCAGCTGGAGCAACGATCTCGTGGGCGAAAGCAGGAAAAAAAGGGAACAAACCCCACTTGGGGACAGATCGGATGGATGTGCAGCGCGCGATGGACCACAAAACCCCCGGTCCGTCAGGCCGTTCTGATAAGGTTTTCGAGGGTCTATATTTTATTCCTTCCTTGGATCGTTGCATGCAAATGCTGACCCCGCAATGTTTGGAATGGTAAGTTTTTTTATTATTATTAGTTTATTTTTGGGTCGAAGGAATCTGTTGCATTGCGGATAGCGCACATCTAATGTGGGGCGTGAATTGTCGGTCAAGGCTCCGCTACATACGGCGGCATCCTCCTCCTCCTTGCTCCGTCTTCTTCTGCATCTCCAAAAAGCACCCCCTTACCATGAAAAAGGAGAAATTGAAAAGAAAAAACAATTTCCCTCTTTCTCTCTCTCTTTCTCAGCCTATCAGTCTGCAAGTCTCTATACCGATCTGACGTCGTGCGTCGTTAATTGGACAATCATCGCATTGAAGAAGCTTCACTCCTACGTGGTGATAGGCTCGGACGTAATCCAGCATCTCGCATTCCACGCCGCAAACGCACGCGATCCTCCTCCTCTTCCCTTCCCTTCAACAAAACAATATCGTTGCTCAACCCATGACTCACGACGAAAACCCACGTCGTCGTCGTCGAATTCAGTCTTTCAGTTTGGCTTTTTTGTGTTTTATTCTTATGGGGGTTTAGTTTTAGTTTCCTTGTAGCTGTGATGTTGTTGTTGTTGTTGTTGTTGCAACAGCGAGGTGGTGTTATGTTTTTTTGCTATTGGAGGAGTAACATAATACTTGGGGAAGAAGGAGAAGAAGAAGAAGGCAGTTATTTATTACTTCCACCTTAAGTTGTGTTGAAAAGGGATATTCCATTCATGCTGTTGGGAAGTGATGGTGTAGCTCGCCATTCCATTCTATTATTATTGTTATTTAATTTAAAGTTGTTTTTTTTTTATTTTATTGGTTTGCGAAAGATTTTTTCTTCCTCGACTGAAACGGGTCAACGTTTTGAATTATGTGACCCATTTTCAGGATTATGAGTTTTTAGTACATAAAAAATATTATTTTGTTTATGTTTATGTGTTTTCTAAGGAAGTGCAGTTTACTATAGTTGATGAATGCTATCATCGGGGGATATTCGTCGTGGCCTTCAGGTCAAATTGAGTTGTTGAAGACCTTGTCGTTGTGTGGGATCCTAGAACGTCTATTTTTCATCTGCCAAAGAATATTAATCCAAGGCATGAGAGTATTTAGAAGGAATATCACAAAATAGGGTTTATCAAATATTGCTTTGTTGAACAGCAAAATCTAGCTATGATCTTTCCTTGGATTTTTTTTGTTACACTGTCAGTTGGGGAAGAACATGTTTCAAATTTCAGACCAAACGCCTGAATTTTTATATTTAAAACTATTTGATTCACCATTATCAATAAAGAGTTCTTCAAATCATATTCAAGGTTTCAGAGTTAGCATGTGCTGTTCTTTTGTTAACAATTGAAAAATAATAAAATGTCATAAAAATCCAATAGTGAATTGAATTTTGATATCTCTTAATTCGTTTTTTTTATAATCTTTAAATTAACAAGAAAAAAAATTACAGCTAAATGTTTAATATTTAAATGAATTTCTATACATGAGTGTGATGTTCAAATTTTACAAATCACAATTGAACAAAATTATAGTAGTATCTATTGTTGTTATTACTATTGCATTATACAAATAATTTGAAAATATCATATAATCATATAAGAAATAGTCTTCCAAACCAACTCAAAAAGAATTCTCACAATATTTGTTCGATTTGAGAATACCGATAATAGTCGTGCCAACCCATATATCGTCAGAGTGGATATTGGAAAACAAAATATTCATTCTTCTCTAAAACTAGTAAATGTGGGCTGGAGTAGAAACAATTACGCAGCACATACTTGTTGGTAGTGCAACATGTCACACCTTTGTAATCTTTCTTTCGTTCTTCAGAGTTTGAAACTATTTTCAATGGTCAAGGGAATGCCTTTCTCACTTGTTTAACTTATTGAAAGAGAAATAAATAAATAATAAAACACACGCACACACACACACGCAGACAAAATTTCACCTTCTGAGGTAAGAACAAAAACTCGATGTTTGCCATAATAACAACAACAACAACAAACAGTAACAGGGAGAGTACGAAGGCAATTAAGCAGACTAGATTTTTTCTATTCAATATTGATTCCTAAAGAGCTGGTAGTAGTTTACCCAACGTTGCGTTATTAATATCAACACATGGGTAGACCATAATCAGCTCCAGCATACACATCGATACTCTCCATATTTAAGTCCAACGGTGAACCAGTTACATTCACTTGCGCGTGCAGATACTGGAAAACACCATCGCAGTTCCGGCATCAACACATCAACAACACACGACTCGGAACGTGTGAATCTCGAAACACGGCACCGAAAACATTGGCTTCGACGGAAGTTTCTAATTCCGACTCACAGCCGAAGCTCGACACGAGCCTATCGAGTCGACGACCTCAGTAACTAGAGAGGGGACCATGCCTCCCCCAGTTGGGCAAGTCTGTGGATCAAGCCAACTTTGTCCCTTGAACACCTTATCAATCGGCAGAGTGGAAAATAGAATCCGATGACGGAAGGGAGAGCAATCAATCAACAAGAGGGCGAGGAAGGAACAGACTCATAGAATTAACTGGTGCCAGAAAATCAGGCGAGTGAGGCCTGAATCGAATGCGGAAAAGAATCGGTCCACCATTCTTCATCGAAATCAAATGGGCCCAGTTTCTAAGTAACGGTGACAGACGGGATTGGATTGCGAGGCCGCCGCTTGCGACCCAAGTTGGGTGGGTCTTGTCCACGGCCTAAGAGAAAGGTCGCAAAGGAAGGTCGCTAACAAGGAAGAAGTAGGTAGTAAGTAGGGTGGCAGGTAGGTAGGGTGAATAGTGAGGTAAGGAGGGTGGATGGTAGTAAACGTGGAGTGGGCAGGTACCTAGCGGGGCCGGCAGCGTTCCCGGCCTGGAATCTGGGTGGGGGGACTGCGCGTTCCCCATGAAGGAGAACTCGTCGTTCATTGAATCGGGGATTTAGGGTGTCCTTTTGCTTGAATTTAGGGTTTGAATCTTCTACACAGAAACTATCTTTTCATTGCGAGCTCCCTTCTGATTCATACAGTAGTCAGATTTTAAAATATTTATTTATGTCTAAAGCAAAAGGACAAAAGAACAAGTCGCTGATTATTTCTGGTTTTGAGTTTCTGTGGGAACCAGTCAGTGAGGTTTGTACAGTATTGAATGTGAGTGTGTGCAATTGGGTTCTGAAAAAATCGTCCATTGCCGACTTCCAGTTTCGTAACAAAACCTTGCAATTAAAAAATAATTACCATTGATTTAGATTTATTGTTCTCATTTCGGTGGCGAGTTAGATCTGTTGGTTCAGTTGAAATTATCCAATCACTTCTCACTTTTTTAATTTTTACATTTAAATCCCCATGTTCACATGTGGATTTTGGATGAACAATTGAGGGTGGGGGAATACAACCAAGTTTTGAAGGTCTACTTGATACTGTTCTAAGACGTTCTTCAAGTTGCAAGACAGCTGCAATGACCTACAAATATATATATATATATATATATATGTGTGTGTGTGTGTGTGTGTGTCTCTTGCAGTGTTTACTTTCATTAAAGTAATATCAAAGGTAGATCCTTACAAGTTGAAAACGGAAGGCCTTATATATATATATATATATATATATATGTGTTTCTTGCATATATATATATAAGGTTTTTTTTCGTCAAATCACTTTGCGCAGTTATGCGCCTGTGAAGATATATATATATGCAAAGGAGGGGTAGTCCAACCCATAAAATCTTCCAACTTGAAGATTTCTCCAATGCATCTGTGTTGATTCTCTTAATCTAGGTGCAGAAATCGTTTTAATAATAACTATAAAAGTAGTAACAATAATGGGCAAGGAAGGCCTTATATATTTATATATATATATATATGAATGAGGTACACATACTTCAGTTTTGTATGATCTTACACACGAATTTTCACAATATGGGCATTAATACCAATGCAGCAAAACAGGCTCACAGATATAATTTTAAACTAAAGATTTAGCTACTATTTAAAGGCATTTGAAAGTGTTTTGATAGCGATTCACTTGCAACATTATTAATAGAGTAATATCTAAAGTAATATTTGAAATCTCTCTCTCTCTCTCTCTCTCTCTATATATATATATATATATATAAATATATAAGGGAATGATAAAGCGACCCACTCTATTTTAACCATCATTATATCCTTGCAACTCCCATCCCTGTCCCTAGCCATTTTTTGTTTCCAACCATTGTGGAGGTGGGAGGCTGGAAACATTAGAAACATGAGCAATAGTTGGAAATAAGAGAATGGTTGAGAACATGGATGAGGTTGAAAGGATACAATGATAGTTTAAACATGGGGATCAATTTAGTAAAAACTTGGATTGCTTTATCAATTCTCTCTCTCTCTCTCTCTCTATATATATATATCTTAACATCATGGTTTTATAAAGAAATTATAAATTTTGTATATGTTGTCTATTTTAAATATAA